TACCCCAGGGAAGTGAAAGGGGAGGGAGAATCTTTAAAAAGATGGCAGAAGATATTGTTAATAGTGTATCAGGATTAAAAACCCACATTACTCGCACCACTCTGCTTAGATTTTATTCTGTCCCAGTTTGCCTACTTGCATTAGATTTGAGGGCACAGACAGCTATCCCCAAAACATCAGGATATAGCACAGTAATCATCTTTAAGTTCCTATTATCTTTTTTTTTTGTCTTTTTCCTTTTTATCAGTACCGGGGATTGAACTCATGACTGCCTGCTTGTAAGGCAGGCGTTTATGCCACTGAGCTAAATCCCCAGCCCAAGTTCCTATTATCTTAATCTGGAGCCCTGTATGACTTATATTGTTTTATCGTGACTGACCATAGTTAAATCTGGTTTGTTTAATTGCTGTTTGGTATCAACAGATTTTATTCGAAATTGATATGATTGATAGTATTAAGTGTGAGCGTATAGGCAACTACACTCATGATAACAAGACTCTATGATATACATTCTGGTTTGGTAACTGCCCGCTTTTGAAGTTTCATACTATACACAAAGTTGTTTTTATTAATCCTGTTATGTACTGATACATTCAATTATACTATAGCTGATGATATAGCCAATTCTATTGAAGATAACAAGAGACAACACAGGAACTACAGTAGAATTCCTTGTATAACGGTCTTATGTCTTTTTTGTTTCATGTGTTTATAGGAATATATTTTGTTTTGTCTTGCTTTGTTTTGCTTCTCCCTCTAATATAGAAAGGATAGAAATACATGTTAAGACTCATGCATGTGTATAATCTATAAACAGTTTGTGAGAACTGATCTATGACACATGATGAAACGAACAGATACTTTGAAGAAAAAAGAGACACTACAGTACCCAGGGCTAATCCTGGAGTGTCATAATGTGAAACCCAGTAATAGTATTCTTTGTTCAGAGTGATATTAGTCTGTTTGGGTTTGTTCAATCTCAACGTAATTGAAAATATGGATAACTGCATGTATGTTTAAGTGTACGTGATTGATAATCATATTTCTAAGTTTTTGTTGATAGTTGAACAGAACTGGTTGCAGTCTCACTGTTTGAATCCCCACCTTATATGCTCCAGTTTAGTATCTTGAATAACTATTTGTAAGAGGACAATCTGTAATCATCAACCAGTTATTTCTGTTTATTTTTTCTTTGAAAGTATGTATTATTTCTACACGTTTTCTGTTTTGTTTAGTCTTTCTTTAAATAAAATTTAAAAAGATACTACAGTACCCAGCTGATCCCATAGTGGTCATGATGTGAAATCCAGCAATACTATTATTATTTGTTCAGAATGATTTTAGCCTGCTCTAGTTTGTTTAATCTCAACATAAATGAAGATATGGATAACTGCATGTTCGTATAGGTGTGTAGGATTGACAACCATATTACTAGTTTTTGTTGGATAGTTAACAGAACTGTTTGCAGTATCACTGTTTGAATTCCCACTTTATATGTTCCAATTTTTATCTTGAACAACTATTTGTAAAAGGACAGTATGTAAACATTAACTAGTGATTTCTTACTGTTTATTTTTTCCCTGAACGTATGTATTATTTCTACCAATTTTCTGTTTTGTTTAGTCTTTCTTTAAATAAAATTAAAAAAAAAAACCTATGTGAATGACAGTGTAAACACAAACAAAATTCTAAAATAGAAATAAGCTTTGCTTCAACTGTCAAATCTAGGGCAGTATTTACACATGACAACTCCATGTTCCATTTATACACCTTGCTTATACTCTTAGCATATGTTTTTTTTTTCCTGTACTTTCCTGTAGGGCATGGTTGATACCTTGTTTTCTTGTTGTATTTGTGGTCCTGTGCCTGCTTGTTCACCTGTCAGCTCACCAGGATGCTCCAAAATTTTTTGGCACAGTTCTTTGTGTAGAAACATTTTGTTTTTTCTCTGCTGCAAATGATCTCTTATGAGTTCTAGTCCCAATCCTCTAAGAAAATTTCTCCATGATATTTTGTACTTGCAAATTTCTTTGTAAGTTGTTATGGTTTGTATACAGGTTCCCCATCCCTCAAGCCTCAAGCAATGATGGATGCAGCTGAATCTAATTTTTGTGATTGTTTCACTGCCTAACACTGGGATTGGTGGTGTGTTATATTCACCTGGGGGGGAGCTGGCATACAGTATAAGGGCATGAAGAGGTCATGCTTGGCTCTTCTTTTGCTCTGTTTGCTCTTGATGTTTGCTATGCACAGTGGCCCCATTTATGTCATCCTGCCTTGGAGCCAGCTGAGTATGGACTACAACTTCCAAAATTGTAAGAAATAAATCTTCCTTTCTCTAATTTTGGACATCAGGTATTTTGTCTCAACAATGTGAGGAAATTAACTAAGACAGAATCTGGTACCAGGAGCGGGGCCGTTGCTGTGACTTTACCTGACCATGTGTTTGAAAAGCCTCTGGGAAGACCTTGTAAGAAGAGTTTGGAATGGTTTGCAGATGTCACCTGAATGCATAGAGCTGGAACAACTTAGGCTGTTCTGTAGGGGAGATTCTGGTCAGAGCTCAGGAGGCCAGAAGGTTGACAGATAGCCTGCCAGTAAAGACCAGGGTTGGGAGGTTTCTTCTGGAAAGAAGGACTGCACTGGTTGTTGGGACTCCACATGATGTGTTATGGCTTAGCAGAAAGTTTGTCTGCATTTTCCTCATGTGCAGAGACTTTGCCTGAAACTGAGATTAAGGGCAGTGGACTAATTAATCTAGCAAAAGAGATTTCAAGACAGTCGAATATTGAGGCAGTGGCATGGCTATTGTTGGGGAATTTCAGCCAGATTACCACTGAGAATCAAGAGCAAAGAGCCCAGCAGGATGATTTAAAATGTTTTAAGTTTGGCCAGAAAGCTGTGAATTGTAAACAATACAGCTGAGACCTCAACTGCTGAGAAGAAACAGAGAAATAAAAAAGATGGCATGGGGAAGCAGATTATTTACCCTTTGCAGCCTCATAATGGCAAAAATGAAAGACTCTGCTTAGAGAAGACCGCAAAGCACCATGTTCCAGAGTAGATACAGAGGCCACAGAAGTCCCAAAATGATGGTAGCCACATCAGATTCCAAAATGGTGGTGGCATAGAGAAGCTGTTCCTTACAGTCAGGTTCATAAAGCTCAGTGATCAGGCACTCGATCCCTATAGCCAAGAGAGAGGAAAGCCTGGCTACTGCTTTCCTCAGTGGACCTCAGCAGCATCCACATGGTGTTAGTTTCAGGCAAATAGAAAATGCATGAGTTCTGAGGTTAAGGCAGCTTCCACTCAATTTCAGAAGGCCTGGGAGGCCAAGCAGTATACCTCTGAGAGAGCAACATATGAAGCTGTGAGTGTGAAGCTAAAGGTGCAGTGGAGACCCCAGAAGTTTGGAAAAGCCAGGAACATGGATCATTCAAGGAAAGCTGCAAAGACTGAGTAGAGTGGGCTTTAAAAGAGAAGCTGTGAGAGCTGAAATCCCTAAAGTGTCATGGGGGTGGAGTCACTCAAGCCTTTTGGAGCTCACCATCAGATTGCTTCAGATGCTGAGCATGGAACTCTAGGACTTAATGTTTGCTCTGCTCAATTTTAGATTTGCTTTGGTTTCAATGCTTTGTATTCCCATGAGTCACTTTTGGAATGACATTTATCCTGTGCCATTGTATGTTGGAATTGTTTAATTTTGTTTTCATTTGCACATTAGCTTGCAGCTAAGAGTCTGCTTTAAATCTTGAAGGAGACTTGGTACTTGGACTTTTCAGAAATGCTGAAACTGTTAGGACTTTGGCAACTCTTGGAGATGGACGAAATGTCTTTTGTATAAAAGAACTGCATGAGTCTTTGAAGGGCCATGGGTGGAATGACATAGTTTATGTTCAGATGTTCCCCCACACTCCCAGGCCTCATACAATCATGGACGTGGCCAAATCTAGCATTTGTGATTGGTTTGGGGTCTAGCACTATGATTGGTGGTGTCAGCGCTACACCTGCCCAGGGTTGGAGCCAGCATACAGTGTAATGGGGGGAAGAAGACATGTCTTTCTCTTTTTTGTTGTTTGCATTTGCTGGTGCCGCAGCCATGAACCACTGCCCCTCAAGAATGTCATTTTGTCTTGGAGCCAACTGAGTATGGACTGAAACCTCTAACCTGTAGGAAATAAACCTTCCCTTCCCTAACTTTGGGTGTCAGGTATTTTGCTTCAACAATGAGAGAGAAAAGTAAGTAACTTTGGTTCATATGGGCAACATCAAAGTCATCATCTTCATTGTTGAACATCCACACCACTCTTCTGTTATTGAATGCATGCGTTTTATCATAATGGGTCATCATCATCCATGGATAAGTAATCTGATGATTCACTTTTGACCTTATCCAAAACTTCCAAATCTGGTCTTTCATGGGCCATTGTAATGAATTAGGTTACTTCTACCAGAAAAATCAAAAGACAACTCTTTCTTTTGATAACAAATCTTGGAGTGGTGTGGATCTTTATGATGCTCAGTTAAACATATGCAAAACCTGTTCCATGGAGCATAAACGTGGGCACAAATACTGTTTTGCCACTTCTGTACATGTGCACACACCTTGATTGCCTCTTAAAACTCCCAGGGAAAGATACTGAGACTCAAAGCCAGCTACATTATGCTAAAGTACAAATTGGTTTCTTTCATTTATGAGCTAAATAAAGAGCAAAATAAAAGTGAATGACAGGGAAAAAAAGTGAATGACAAGAAGCAGGGAGATATAGATTTTTTAAAAAAGGAAAGTGCATCAGAGACAGAGAAGGGGAGATGGCGGGGAGGAAAAGGGGATGAAAAGAGCTATTCAGATGTGTTATGTACATAAGGAATGCAAACATGCAAACACATACTACTACAAATTTAAGAGACACATACTGCTACAAATTTTAAAAAGTAAAAAACACATAATAATTTAAAAAAGTAAAAAAGCACATCAGGTATGTTCCACAGTTCCTTACCTGTATAGTTAGCTCATTCTTGATACTTTGTGATTCATCAACTTGCAAAAGTATTTCAGCTTTATCTTTCACTGATGAAAAGGAAAAACAGCAGTGTAGTCTTTTAGTCACTCAAATATTTTAATGATACTTTAGTGAACCAAAAATGTAAATGAAGCACAGTCAGAAAATGATCTTGTCTTCTTAGTGAATGAATGTACTCCTTTTGACCCTGTGTAGGTCTTATTTTTCATCAGTAAATTCTGATCATTATAATCACCATCAGCATTTTCTATTAGAATTTCAAAATTTTCTGTAGTGTTAAAATATTAATTGCAAAGATATAATGAATGTGCAAGTTTTCCATCTAACTAAGTAGGGAAAAGTATACCAAAAAAGTTAAAATTTCACACAGAAAAAAGACTTTAAATACCTTGACTAATCTTAAAGCAAGATTTTAAAAAGAGTATGCAATACTTTTGTTGTTAAATTGCTGAAATGAGCATACTAAAAAGGCCAACAAAATTATTTTTCTCAGACTTTTCATATGAATAAAGTATTGTCTGATGAATGTAGCTCTTCGTATCAAAACTGAGTATATAACACTTGTGGTCTTTAAAACAGTGATTCATTTCCTATCTTGGGAAAACAAGAGCCTTTTACTTTGGCCCCTGTGTTTGCTAAACTTTAGAAATCTTCACATGGCTAACATGTGAAACAAACTCTTCACTTTGAAAACAATCCAGTGAAAGACTCAAGAGGCAAAATTATAATAAAGTTAGCAAAGGAGAGAATGTTCAAAACACAGAAAGTGCTGCTCTATGTAACATCAATTCAGAATATTTAATTTATTCATCTTAAACATTTATTACATCCTTGTGATAAGAATATTCCAAATCATCTCTTTTAGGTATTCTAAACTATATGACACATACTGTTTACTATAATTATACCTGGACATTAAAAGAAAAAAACAAGAACATATTCCTCTTATTTGGTTGTGACTGTAGCCTTCTCATCTTTTTAATGAGTCACTGACAGTTTTTGACTATTATATATTTAACACTATTTATCTCACATCTTATAGTTTCAACTGTATGATTTTGCAAAGCAGATGTTTTGGGAACGTACACTGCATTATAACACAATTGACTATTTTCTGTTCAGTTGGACCAGATTTCTGCTTTTTACGAATGCTGTATTTGTTTTGTTTTGGTGCTAGGATTGAATTCAGGGTCTTACAGATCATACTGCTTTGACAACTGTTACTTTGTCAACTAATTTAAATTTCAGTTAGTTCTACTACCAACACCTTCACTTCTGAAAAAACATTGTGATAGCTTATTTTCTTATTCTTCACTGTGGGTTTCATAATTTAAGTACTAAACAATACTCATAGAGGTTTCTTTAGCATTTATTAACAAATAAAACTAATATTTAATATGTCTTCAGAATGGGGGAAATATAACTGGAACTGTGTACTACTTTAATATGATACAATAATATAAATTAATATTATAGGTCATCAAATATTAAAGGATTAAACTAAAGTCAAGATAATTTTCTGATTTACTTTTTGAGACAGAGTTGCTCTATGTAGTTCAGGCTGGCCTTGTACTCAGTATATAGTCCAGGCTGGTCTTTAACTCAGGGTGATCCTCCTACCTTAGTCTCCCAACTGCTGGAATTAGAGGCATACTCCATAACACCAGGCATTTTTGGGTGTCATTTATTCATGTCTTAATCAACATCTCTTTTACTATTTTCCTTGCATAGATTTTTAATTAAAATTAATACAAAATAAGTGTCACTAGGTACATATTCAGGAAGGCACCAATTGGCAGGTTTTCATATAGTATCAACTTTACTAATTTTATTATCTCTAATCATTTGTTGGATTAATTTTCTTGGCTTCCTGCTGGTGCTCTCTTGCCAAAAGTCTAGAGTAGCAGCAAAAAATGAGAAGAGCAGCTGGGGAAAGAGAAGACAGGAAGGAAATACCAAGAAAAATCTAAAGTAATTGCAGGTTCTCTCCCACTAATTAAAAGCCAAATCCTAAGCAAATATTTTGATTGCTTTTCCCTTAAATATAGACCACTAATTTACAAGAATTGAAATTTCAATGGTATTATTTTATTGGAATACTTGAAAATTTATAAAATAAAGGTGAACTGTAACATAATGATAATAATGTCAGCAACTATCCAGATAGTATCACTCTGGGAAACCTTTTTATTTTGCTGAGTTCATAAATCAAGTATCCCAGGGCTGGGGATCTAGCTCAGTGGCATAAGCGCCTGCCTTGCAAGCGTGCAGTCCTGAGTTTGATCCCCGGTACCAAAAAAAAAGTCATAAATCAAGTATTTTGAAAAATTATTTTCAGATAATATTTAAGATACACTTCAATTTGAAAAACACAGATAATCACTTACTTTCACCTTCTTGAAGCATTTTCAATAACTGTGCATTTCTTGCTTTTACTTCTTTATACTTTGCCTAATAGTCAAAGAAAAAGATGTAATTTTTCATAAGTAAATATTAGTTTAAAAATAAATGATTTAAGTCAATTTATGGAGCAGTGAATTCTACGCTTGCTCAAAAGCATGTATTACTTTTGGAAGAAACAGCATGGGGGGAATGTAATTGGGACTGTGTACCACTTTAATGTGATACAATAATAGAAATTAATATTATAGGTAATTAACTATTAAAGAAGGATTGAAGTCACAGTAATACTTTTCCAAAACAGTCTTTCTCTTTTTCTCACCAAATAAAACTCTCAGTAATTTAAAATACTTTAGATTCAAACTAAAATAAAAATGACTGATCATTCTACACTAGTATTGTCCATTAATATACTAGAACTTACCATCTGTTTCATATCTGCCACTGTCCAATTTGTGGCTACTGAGCACCAGAAATGTGGTTAGTGTGACTGAGAAAATGAACTTCAGCAGGAGTTTACTAGGGATTGAATCCAGGGCTAAGCACTCTGTGTTACACTACTGTGCTACATTCTCAGACTGAAAAAATAGATTTTTAATTTTACTTAACACAAACTGAAATTTTGAGATGCTTTGTAATACTTTTTGAATTTCTCTCTCTCTCTTTCTTTCTTTCTTTCTTAATTTTTTTCAGAACTGGGAATTGAGCCCAGGACCTTTGCACTAAACTATATTCCCAGCCCCTTTTATTCTTTATTTTGAGATAGGGTCTTTCTAGGTTGCCAAACTGTCCAGGTTGGTCTAGAACTTCTGTTCCTTTCTACCCAAGCCTCCAGCAACACTGGGATTACAGGCATATGCCATCACCCATAGCTAGGTTATTAAATTCTACATAGTATTTTAAACTTCCTCAGTTAAGATTTAACTATCAATTAATTACTGTTACAGTAATTTTGGTTGACATAAACTAGTAGTTTACTGAAACATTTTGGAACTTGTTTTAAAGTTTCTTTTTCCAAATAGCATAGTTCTTACACTACATAAATGATACATATTTATGAACAAGAGGAATTATGCTCCAACAATAACATTCACATTCTAAGCATATTTTTGCCTGTACTGCCTTATTCGACATATTTTGCAACAATCTCAGAATCACTGATAGTTAATAATACATTACAGAAACCACACTTTATCATAGAAAAATAAAAGCTTAAAAATATATCAATGTAACAAACCTGTGATTTCTTCTTTCTAACATGTGCATAGGTATATATACAAGTTACCAGATTAAAACTCTTTTTATTTATTTTTTCTGTGGTTTTGGGATTAAATCCAAGGGCTCATGGATGTGAGCTACTGGGATATACCTTTAACCCTCAAGGCCACATGCCTGTTTGGCAAATGTTCTACCACTGAGCTAATTCCAGCCTCTAAAGGTACTACAATGCTTTTACTATTCTGTGCTCTATCCATTAAACTGCTGAAGATAAATCAATAATGGTCATGGGGTATACTCCCATCAATACCATGAATCAAAGTGAGCATAAGAGGAGTGGGACTTGTTTTTTTTCCTGTGATCCTGGGGATCAAACTTGGGGCACACTATAACTTAACTATACCTCTATCCCTTATTACTTTTTTATTTTGAGGCAGGGTCTCATTAAGTTGCTCAGATAGGACTCTTAACTTGTGATCTTCCCACCTTAGCCTCCTAAGTGCTAGGTTCATAGGCCGTAACATGGGTCCCAGTAAGACTTCTGAGAAGCTTAAAAATAATAATGGAAGGGGCAGAAGTGTTGGCACATGCCTGTTGTCCCAGCTGCTAGAAAAGCTGAGGGAAGAAGATCACTTCAACAAGTGAATTCAAAGGCAGCCTAGGCATATCAAGAAAAAAGAAAAAGGAGAAGGAGAAGAAGGATAAGAAGGAAAAAAAGGAAGAGGAGGAGGAGGAAGAGGAGGAAGAGGAGGAGGAAGAGAAGAAGAAGAAGAGAAGAAAGACGACGACGACGACGATGACCTTACAACGATGGAAGAAGGTAGAAGGAAGAAGAAGAGAACAAGGAAGACAAGTCAGATAGAAACAATGTAGAAAGAAAAACACACATCTAACTACAACTATATTCACTATGAACATGAAACTATACTACTATGCAATTTCCAGTATCAGAGCTGCAACCTGTGATAGTATCTCACCAAACGTTTTCTAGTCAAGCCTGTTGTCCATGGCCTGGGTCAGTATTCATGCACGCACCTCTTATACAAGCCGTAGGCTCTAAAGTCAGCTCATAAAGCAGACATACAAACTTACTGTGACAATCCCTTAAACTGCTTATTTAAAAAATAGTATAGTTTTGTATATACAATCCTAAATAGTAAATGTATCTACAAAAACAAATATGTAAAATCTAGTAAGAGGTAGTTTATAACAAACACCACATATGAAATATATAATGTGATCACTAGTATTTTTGATTTCATGAAAAGGAGACCACATAAAGTTGAATGTGCATATGTTGTGATTCCATTGTATCCTACTGTATCCTGAGAGTGTAAGTGGGCAAGTAATACAGTCATTTCAAATTCACCATGTCCAAAACAAAATTTATTAATTTTCATTCTCCAAACCACTTCAACTCAATATTTAATATTTCTTTTACTGGACTATCTTCAATAATGCCACAGGCATCATTGTCCCATAAATCAATTCACTTCTAAAAACTTTTACTTCCCTCTGTTTAAAATCCCAATGTTTCTACTTCTGATCCCAAGAAAGAGCACTGATTTACCCTTTTTGAAGAGCTTTCCTTTTGTCTAAATGTCAGCTATTATATAATTCTTACCACTCCCCATGCCTTTGTACATGTTGCTCTCTCTACCTAGAAACATCTTTTTTTTCTGTGAAATCTTGACCGATTTTCAGAGGCAGTAGCATATTTATTCCTTTCTGTGTCCCTCTGGAATGCTCTGTCAAAGCTCAATTTTAATTCCTACATTGTACTATAATTATTTACATGTTTATTTCATCTATATCTCACTTTTATATCTGTGCCTAAAAATAAAATAAAAGAAAAATAGAAATTAAAAGCTAAAGAAGATAGGTGCATGCAGCCAGAACAGGATATGGCAGATAATATTTTTAAAGGCATGAGTAAAGAAGGAAGAACCAACAGGGATGAAATTTGATTTACTGTCTTTATTTTTACATATGCAAGGCCCAGAAAAGTACTTGGTATACTATGAGCATGCAAATCCATAATTATTGAATAAATTAACATTCATAGAGATAATATTTGAGAGGAATAAGGAGCATTTCTAAAAAGGTAAGAAGAGAGTAACAGATAAATAGTTAAAAGTATAGTATCTTATATACATAACAAGTGGCAGTAAGGATACAGAGAGACTGAAAACCTTGTGCACTGCTGCTGAGAATATAAAATGTATAGCAGCTCTGGAAAAATTTGGTAGTTCCTCAAGAAGTTAGAGAATTATCACATGACCCACTAAGTATATGCTTCCAAAGAATTGAAATAGACTCAAATACTTGCATATCAATAAGCAAAAAGTAGTGGAATAGATGGACCTATAAAAACGATTAAAATTCTAGTATATGCTACACTATGGTTGATCTTTGAAAACACAAAGGTAAGTGAAATAAGCTGGACATAAAAGAATACACAGTATATTGTTCTACCTGTATGAACAACCCAGAACAGGCAAATTCATGGAGATGAGAGATTACGAGGGCTAGGGAGCTGTTTAGTGGCTAGAGTTTTTGTTTAGAATGATAAAACAAGTTTTGGAAATGGTGACGGCACATAATATTGTTAAGGTACTTAAGTGCCTGAATTTATAATATATGTAAATGCTTCTGTTATATATATTTTACAACAATAAAAACTGTATTACTCAGACTTTAAATTACTAATCAGTTAAAATTAATCAGAATGGCTATTTCTATCAATTGAAAAACACATTTTATATAATAAACACAGAAAATGTGTAAATATACAGAATTATTTTCTAACAGTAAGTGGATACACACCTCCCACTGAGTGATCACATTTTTTAGCTTCTGGATTTCAGCATCTTTCCTTTCAAGTTCCAACTTTAGTCTTTCAATTCTTCCATCTTTAAGAACCACTTCCTGAAAAATAGAAAAATGCTACTTTAGGACTCAGGTTTTTCTGTCAATCTTGGTTTACCATATTCTTTTGTGAAAAGTTTAGGAAAAAAATCTGATTTAAGTTAAATTTTTAGCCAACCATAAACTACTTACTACATTTCCACTTTAGCTCAAATACATGTGTAATTATGTATATGCGTAATTATGTATAGTACACAAATAAGATTTTTATGATTAATCAGAACTATGAACATTCTATAAAACAATACTAGAATTTGGAAATATTTCTATCCTGAAATAAACATTTTAAAAGTACTCCATGATGACTTCTTGTTAGGAGTCTGTCTAGAAAATTCTGGTCACTTTGCACTACACATCCAAATAAATAATTTAAATTTAAAAAATCACCCAAACAGTTGGAGATGCATCTCAGTAGTAGAGCACTTGCCTGACATGAGTGTGGCCCTAGATTTCATTCCCAGTACCATACACACATACACAAAATCATACTTTTGATGAGTACAATTGGTTCTATTTACCTACAGAAGAAAGTGGCAACATATTTCACAACCACTCACAGAGTATCTCTAGTTGCTAGGTGAAGAGAGCTACAGATTCTTCCCCTCATGGGTCTTGTCTAGTAGAGGACACAGATGTTACTTAAATGCTGCAGTCAGAGACCAAGGTCTGAACAATAAGGACAAAAAGAATCTGGTGGTCTGGTGCACAGAGAGGAGAAAGATGGTACAAGATGACTCTGGAAAAAGCAAGAGAGACCTGATCTTGGAAAGCCTTCTAAGCCACAAGAACAGTCTAAATATTATTCTGAGTAAAACAGAAAGCAGTGAAGGATTTTGAGCAGGACTGTTCTGCTTTCTTATGGCAGGCTTATATTTGCAAAGAACTCCTTTAGAGGCATGGAAGATAGATTGAAATGACAATGTGACAACAGGTAGAAAACAACCTTTAATTCTTACTGGAAGCCCCAGTCAGACAAGATCATGCTTTGGATAAGAGTGTAGCAGTATGAAGGGAGAGAAGCATATCTGAAAAATAATTTGGAAGCAGAATCGACAGCATTTGGATGTGAGGCTGAATGTGGCAGGTAAGGAAGACACATACTCCAAGTTTCTACTTTAAGGAATAAGGTGAGTAGATAAAAATAAGAAGTATACTACTACTCTGTATGTTCAGGAATTTGATATCTAAACATTTATTTCAAATAGATTAGTGGGAAGGAAAAGTAAGAACATGTTTACTGTGGATCTATTGCACATAAAAACCCACCAATCTAAATGTCTAACAGTAGGACAGACTAAGTATAGTTACAAAATAGTAAATAGTAAAGTCACAAAATGAAAAACTCAAATCAATAAAATGATCATGTAGAACTATGAAATATATTCATATGATCACAAAATTATATATATTACAAATAAAAATTCTGAAGGACATATACCAACATTTTAATTATAATTAAGATTTGTCTTTAATTTTTCCTTTTACTAAAATCATCTTATACTGAGTTATAGTAAGATTCTACTTCTGAAAAAAAGCTGAAACCATATATAGTAAATATTTTTAAAATCAGTTGGACATGATTACACAGGCCTATTATCCCAGCCCTCAAGAGACTGAGGGAGGAGGATTATTGAGAGTTTGATGCCAACCTGGACTATGTAGTAAGACCTTAACTCAAAACAAACAAATAAAAATCTAGATGAAAATGAGTATTATCTTTAATAGTCATTTAAGGGAAACTTGAAACAGAGAGGAGATAAAAAAGAATGATAGATGTGACCTAATGAAAAATCTTTAAAAAATAATATAACAAAAATCAGAAGGTAAATGAAAAGTGGGAAAATTAGTTGTCAGTATGACAGGCATATAACCAACAAACATGAAAAATGTGCAACCATGCTAGTAGGCAATGTTTTACTAGACTGCTATGTTTTAAATGTTTTTTCTCAGTGTAGCTTAAGTGTAGATAATGTCCTTACAAATGGAATTACTTAATGTATAAAATTAAAAGTTGGGTGTGGCAATATATACTTACAATCCTAATATCCTGGGAGGCTAAGGCAGGAGGATTACGAATTTGAGCCCAGTCTGGGCAATTCAGTGACTTATAGAGACATTGTCTCAATTTTTTGTTGTGAACAAGGATGAGGAAATAACTTAGTGAGAATGCCCTGTATACCACAAACCACAATCCTCAGAATACACACACATACACACACACACTCTTAATAACCTGAAATGTTATCTGTATTTAACTGAAAAAGTGATCCATTCAACTGTTTGCATATAGAGAATATATAAAGAAAAGTGAGACCATGTAAGAAATACAGTTTTCTCTAGATGAATGAGATAACAGTCTTTTTGCCCTACTATATATGTAAACTGGCTGTGACGATATCCACCAACTTCATAGTTAACTGTGAGAATAAAATGGTATCATATAAATACTTAATACAATGCCTGGTACACACAAAGTATTTATGTGCATATATAAAAATATGTATCTCAAACATTTATTTCAGCCCTTACCATTTCTTCATTTTACTTACTAGTTTCTAAACTATCGACAATAAAAACATTACCCTTTTAAAATTCAAAGTCATACTATTTTAACATATTTTTCAATGAAGTCCAACATTTTAACCAATACATTTAAAAAATTATCTTCTACATAAAATATACTAACATGAGGATAAAAGAATGCATCCGACAGTCTATGCCCACAAGGGACTTGCAACCAATTAAGAATGACTGTTGTGTAAGCCTGCTGTAGGAAAAACAAAAAACATTAAAAGATAAAAAGGCAGCACCAAGATCATGTCCAGGTTTTCTGTTTTTGGTGTCTGGGGTTGGACTAGAACATGAAGAGAAAGCTTCAGGGAAGAAATGGCATGTGAAACAATCTAGAGACAAGTTGGAAGGGCTCTGTGTAGGAGTGGTTTGTGATGGGAATGATTTTCCCTTACTAGAAAAATACATACAGAAGTGAATTAGGAAGAGGCAATTCTGAGAATAATGCTTTCAAATGCATCTGACAGTGACTCAGTATAGAAATATTTTATATTTTGACCATACACATACATATGTGCCACATATATATGTTGTATATGTATATGAAGATACAGGAAAAAATGTCATAAAATACAAATGTCATTCTGAACCCCATAACACATATATGTACACACACCTTTCTTTGGCAATACTAGGATTGAACCCAGTTCCTTTTCCTACTTTTTATTTTGAGACAGGCTCTCACTGAATTGCTGACGCTGGGCTTAAACATGCAATTCTCCTGTCTCAGCTTCCCAGAGGGCTGGGATTATGGGCATTTGCCACCACACTTACCTCCTATCCTTTTAATTTTTGTAAATTCTTGTAACAATTCACTAAATGAAACCAAGTTGTTAAAAATGGTAGAATTAGGATTGATTTTACAACATCTGATAATTCCTGGTGCACTGATGTACGTATACTGAAACAGATTTGAAGCTTGACAAAAATAAGAGCTTTCTTTCTCTGAGAAAAAGGTGCAATGGGGAGAAAACAAGGTAGATACAGAAAAAGAGGTAAAGCAGGGAAAATGGCCTCAATTTCCCCCCATTATATTCTATAACATACTATGACAAAATTCTATTTTTTCATTTAAAAAAAAACTTCATGTATTCTTTTTCTTGTACCTTCTCTATCCCTGAATAATATATTAAAATGTCCAATCCTGAAATCATCAATTATGCTCATCATCTTCCACTTCAAAAACTAATGCAAATTGTTTTCTAAAATGGTTATACCAATTTACATCCTCCTAGTAATACTATTGTATTATTTCCTTACAATGAACTATTTAACTCATCCATGGTCTGTACCATTCTCTGGTTTTTCCTAGACTCTGCAGTGAAATTAGTATCACTAAATAAATTCTCCTCTGTGAAGAAAACCTTAAAAAATTCCTTATGATCTACTAACTTATAACCCAGGCTTTTAACTCCTCCACAATCTTTTCCAATTTACATATCAAACTTACACTACATTCCTCTATGAACCCATTTTAGTTAAACTGGCTTATATTTCACTGTCTCAGTACTTTTACTTTCAGCATTCTAGTTTCTTCTTCCTCACCTCTATTTTCTTTTCAAAAGGCTATCTCTTGATTTCCTCTCCTTGTGAATTATTATTGCAGTCTATACTGGTATACTATTTTTTTGAACTATTTTTTATCAGTATAAGAATAATTATCTATTAAGTACATATAGTATACAATATGATCTATAAAATCACAATTTTAAGTTTTCCTACTAATAGTGCATGGTAGGCTAGTATAACAATGTAAACTATATAATATGCATTAATATATTTGATTTCAAAGTCTGTTCTTTATCCACTATATATCACTATATCATTTAATCAATTTATATACCTAACTATTCTACAAAGGGAGTGAGGCACTTAAGTATTTGCTGCAATGTATTAATATCATAATTTCTCTTTAAAAATGGTCTGAGATGGGTTAAATATAAGAAAATACAGACTACCAAGGAGAAAATCATAATGAAATATGCAAACCATAAATGTTAGCATACAGCTTGGACAGTACATCAAATCTGACAGTTAAGACAGAAAAACATTACATTCAATTCAATGTCAGAAAGTTAAAAACTCTCAAGTATCTCAGGGCAGCTGAGGCTTTCTTATTACTATACTGAAAACAGATTTTCATATGCAACAGTGTTATTCATAAGCCAGTCAATTGCTGCACTAGAGTGAAGAATTCTGAAGGTCTGACTTCTATTGTGTACCATGTGTACTTTTATGTGTACCAACACATAGGAAATGTTTCATTTGCTGAATGACTAAATTTCTCAATCTTAATAAACAAAGAGGTAACAGCCAGTATACAGGATGGCTAATTGGTGGAATTACTGAATTTATTAGCTTTCTTGGTAAATGAAAAAGTAATGTCCACTGAAGAGAGTAAGAAGATGGAAGCCTAATTTTTTTTGGAGGAGTGGAGAAGGAGGGGGAAAGGAAGAAAGGAAAGGGGTAACCAGGCATTTAGAATTTAAAATAGCAATAGCAGGAATTTTCCGGATTCAGAAAAAGATAAATCAAAGGAGTGCTAAATAGAAATGGGGACATAGCAAAAATCATACAGCACTGGTATGTGATTAGAACATTAGCACTGCATTAAGAAGTATTTTCTAGCCACACATATTGGTTCAGGAATGACACTAGAATAAAGAAGATACACAAAAGTGGAGTCACACAATAAAGAAGATAGTCAGTGAGCATAATGATAATCTTTTTCTATAAAGGGCTAACAAGTAAATATTCTGGGGTTGTGTAGAGTCTTTTCTTTCTTAAAAACAGTATTTTACAAATGCAAAGACCGGGGCTGGAGGTTTAGCTCAGCAGCATAAGCGCCTGCCTTGCAAGCAGGCAGTCGTGAGTTCGATCCCCGGTACCAATAAAAAGGAAAAAGACAAAAAAAAAAAAAAATTTTTTTAAAATGTAAAGACCAACGTAAATACCATTCTTTGCTTGTGGGATTTAGAAAAAATAAAGAACACAATCAGGATAAAATTCTAACTTAGAAAAAAACTGCAAAATCTGAATGAATTCATTTCTCTAATCATGTCATGCCACATTCACTCAATTCTATAATCATTCACAGAATTTTTCAATTTCCTGAATACTCAGCCTAACACCTTTCATAACTCAAGGTCTCTGTTTCTGCAGTTCCTTTAGGTTAGTCTTTCTCTTTTCTCAGTTTATTTATCATTCAAAGTTCATCCTAGATATTCTATTCTAATTCTATTTTGGTAGTGCTGGGGACCACACTCAGTGCTCTACACAAGCTCTACATTCCAGGTTCTCGAACGTCAATTTGTAATACATCCATTACAATTCACCCAAAGATCAGTATCACTTTTTCTAGTCTATTGTTCATATCTCCCGTAAAAGTCCTCATCCTGCTGAATATTATGACAATGTTTTACAGGTCTATCTCTTTGAATGACTCTAGGTGTCTAAGAGAAGACAGGTCTTATCCATCTTGACATTACCTCTCCTCCATGCCAATGCCCAATGACGCATAAAAACAGTATCTGCTCCATGAACATTCATCAGTGAGTGAACTTCACACTTAACACTTCTAATATAAGTATCTCTGCAGGATAATGACAAGTATCCTAAAAACTTTATGATTTATACATTCATACTTGCTTTTTAAAAAAAATTTCAATTTAACATCACTGTAATTTTAAAACATTTTTCTATTTTACATGCCTTGTGTTCAAGAGCTGCACAGTTATCTGTTCCATTATATTCTGTAAGCTGTTCTCTTCTTTTTTCTCGAATTAGAATTTTATGAACATCATCTTCCAGTCTATTGAAGAATCCACCATCATGTGGTAAAGTCTGAGAACTCAATTCCTGTCAAAAATGAATTATGATTATCATTCAGCATAAAAAATGTATGAATTTATCAAATCTAGTAAGCCACTAGGACAAAGAATGAAAGAAATACCATAGCTAAGAGGCAACCATTCAATCTCTGTCTCTAGAAGGCAAACAGCAGACACACAGGTACAAATGTCCTTTTTTCCTTCATATAGTCTAGCATTGGCTACTGCTTGATTTAAACCTTTATCATTCATACACTATATAATTCACACACAATGTATACAAATCAATGGTTTTTTTATATATTCAGTTGTGCAAGCATTACCACAATCAATTTAGTATTTTTATCACTGCAAAAAGAGACCCCATACTCATCAGTAAATAATTCCTATTTCCTCCCAACACCTTCATCAGTCCCAGGCAACACTAATCTGTTTTCTGTTTCTGCAAGTTTGTCTCTTCTGAAAATTTTATACAGATGGAAGAATTTGGTGTCATTTGATTTTTTTGTTAATAGCTTCTTAGCTATTAACTTAGCAAAGAATTTTCAAGGTTCATCCATGTTATGGTATGCACGAGTATTTCATTCTTTTTTTTAAATAAGAATTTTTATTTTTAGTTTTTTTAAATTTTAAAGAGAATAAAACCAAGCAAAATAAAACAGAACAAAGCCAATCAATAAAAACCAGTGTAAGTGACATAGGACTCCAAAATACGAAACATACAATGGTTACCATAATGTCTTCAAAATAGCTGCAGATACCTTCAGACATAGTAGAAATCAAACAAAACAGAACAGAATAGAATCAATAAAAACAATACAATGAATGCAATAAAGGACTTCAAAACAAGACAATAATAAATCCAAAATGTCTATCGTAATATACCTTGCTATCTTTGCAATAGCTGCCCATGACATCAGATATAACAGAATCAAACAAAACAACACAGAATAAAACCTAACCCTAAAAAACAATAAAAATGATACAAGACTTCAAAACAAGATCATAGGGAATTAACAATGGCTACCACCTTTAGGAGATGCCCCTTACATGCCACAGTGTGTACCATTATCCTCTGAATGGATGATTAGACCACCAGCCTTAAACCTGCAAAGTCAGTGAAACACCAACTACCACAAACATCAAATTGCATTTCACCTCAATCATTGTAGCCTATCTTTGCTCTGGATGAGCAAGTTGCTTACAAGGTAGGGAGGGGATTGTCTTGTTTCCCAGCCTGCATGCCAGAAGGGGCTGGGGTCTGGCCATCCCCTGGTGATGGCAGCCCACACATGATGCTGGTTTTCAGGCAGGGTTTCTTCTTGTTGAGTTCTTGTTCTCTTCCCCCACAGTCAATGGCCGACTTATGGGAAAAAGCCAGGGTCTAGCTGTCCCCACCCCCCAGTGGTGGTGGCCTGCATATGGCCCATTCTTTTTTATAGCTATATAATATCCCATTCTGTTTTCTACATCACTGGTTGATGAGCATTTTTATTGTTTCTACTTTTTGGTTATCATGAATAATGCTATCAACAGTCATGCATAAGATTTTATGTGGATATATTTCCAATTCTGATGGGCATATATTTAAGAGTAGAATTGCGGGGTCACATTGGTAACTGTTCATTTTTTTGGAAATATTGCTAAGTAGCTCTCTGAAACTTCCCACCTTTTTTTTACAATCCCATTAGCAGCACAAGAGCGTTTCAACTTCTCTATGTTTTCACTGACATTAGTTATTATGTCTTTTTATTATAACCAACCTCATAGGTGTGAAATACTTCATTGTGGTCTTGAGTGGCATTTCCCTGATGGCCAACAGAGTTAAGCATTCTTTCATGTATTTTATTTGCATATCTTTCCAGAGAAATTTCTACATAAATTCTGTTTTAAAGATACTGGGGAGTGAGCCTGGGGCCTCATATGTGCTAGATAAGTACTCTAAAACTGGGCAATATCCACAGCCCTTTTTAATTTTTTTACAATTAAGTTTATTGGTACATTTTACATATACATAATCACATTCATCATAGGTAATTTGTACTTGTACATGATACATTTTGATTATGTTTTTCCCCTCCTCTCCTTTTACCTCCTCTTCTATTTTTCTCCTTTTCCCCCTATTTACAAAGCTTTACTTTCATTTTATCCTTTTTTAAAAATCTTTTTTTTTCCCTTTCTCTCTTCCTTCCTTTTCCCTCTCCCCTACCACAGTTCTTCATTTCTTTTGCTGCTTTTTATTTTCTAAGAGTTTCACTAAGTGACCCAGGGTAGTCTTAAATTTGTGATCCTCCTGTCTTACGTTCTTGATGGGCTGAGATTACAGGCATGTACTACCACACCAGCCTTGGCCCATTTTCTAATTGAGTTATATGTATTTTTACTTTTGACTTACAAGATTTCTTTATATATTCTAAGTAGCCATATATGACCTGAAAAATTTCTATTTTGTGGGCTGTTTTGCAAAAATCTCATGTTGTCCCTTTACATCATGAAAAGTTTTTAATCTGGATTTAGTCCAGTTTATCCCAGAAACCACTGCCTAACTCAAGGTCACAAAAAATCTACTCCTACATTTTCTTCTAAGAGTTTCATAGCATTAGTCCTTTTATTTAATCTATCTTGCAGCCTAAAACACACACACACACACATACACACAAAGAGACAAAGCAGAGAGAGAGAGAGAGAGAGAGAGAGAGAGAGAGAGAGAGAGAGAGAGAGACTGAGACTGCAGTGTTGCAGACTCAAGGTCCCATACATGCTAGGCAAGCCCTCTCTACCACTGAGTTAAGAGCTTCTCTGACACAAGGGTTGCCTTGACTGGTTTCTACCTCTCTGGCTCAAGCAATCCTCCCATTTCAGCCTGGTGAGTAGTTGGGACTACAGGAACATGATAGCTTATTTGGCTTTGGCTCTTGTAATTAGTTCTGGGATCCACTTATTTATGTATGGTGTGGAGGAGACCCAGTCCATTATTTACGTGTATTTAGAATTATTTGTTGAGAAAACTTATTTTTCTCCATTGAATTATCTTGGCATCCTTGTCCAAATCAACTGAACATAAAATATCAGGGTTTATTTCTGGACTTTTAATTCTATCAAACCATATGCCATTCTTCTGCCATTATATTGCCTTGATTACTACAGCTTTGTATTGCTGAGTCTTTCACATTCCATTTAAAAGAAATTTTTACATAAATTCTACTCACACTGGAACCTTTTAAAGAAGTAAGATTTTACCACTAGTCATATAAAACTAGACATTTTATACATTCTCCAATAAAAGCAGAATTTCTCTTCCAACTTCCTAATTTGAACACAGAGATTATAGAAAATGTTTCTCTCACTTCCACTGGTTCCACTTGTGTCCCACATTCTTAGGCTATAATACAATTTTACACATTTCAATTTTTTTCCCAATCAGTGTTACTTTGTAGTTCAGGATGGCCTCAAACTTCCAGCAATCCTCCTGCCTTAGTCTTCCAATTGCTGGAATGACGGGTGTGTGCTACCATGCCTGGCTGCCATTTCAACTGTATTTTTGAAAAACTAAACAACAGTTCCATGACTATTTATCCTTTCCTCTTGGTATTATCTTAGTATAGTATGTGAAAGAAAAACTTACTTGTGTATCATTGTTTAATACTCAACACTAAAATGTTTGTGTGGTACTTCATATTTTGCAACATTATTTGAATCTCATGAATACCCAGAGAAATTGACAAAACAACTATTTTAAGTATTATTTCCCACCAAGAATGACATGAGTCACTGCTAAAGGCATATCTGTAAGTCTACTGATTTACAAAGTACTTCCAGTATATTTTGGTTAAGATTTCATTTTTTAATAAGAAATGCTTAAAAGACTGCTGAACTTGTATTAAGAGGACTAACATGCTGTCAGAAACTAATCAGGCCTTAGATTTCATGTCATTGTAATCTTGCTGGGCATGGTGACATGTGACTATAATCCAAGCACTTTGGAAATCTAAAGGAGGGGGAACCTCACATTCAAGCCTAGCTTAGGTAACTTAGTAAGGCATTGTCTCAATTTACTAGGAAGTTGGGGAGTAGGAGCTGGGAATGTAGCTCAGGAAAGGCCCTAGGTTCAATTTCCAGTACCACCACAAAATCAAAATAAGCAGTTCTCCAGGTGTCCCCTATTTTTGATGTAGCTCCCCCTACCAGTATGCCTATCTTGGAAGCACTCTACTTCTTAAATTGTGCGTGTATGTGTGTGTTACTAAGGATTAAACATAGAGATGTTCTACCATGTCCAGTCCTTTTTATTTTGAGACAGCCGCCCTAGGCTGCCCAGCTGGCCTTGAACTCTTCCTGCTTCAGCTTCTTCAGTAGCTGGGATTATAGACATGTGCTACCATGCCCAGCTTCTTGAGTATTTGTGAATGAGATGCAAAATATCTTTTTAGCTTAACATGAAAACATTCAAACTATATCTTGATAAACTATGGGGGTAAAGTAAAAATAAATCACCCAAAACATACCCCACACCTCAGAAAAAAAGAAAAAAAGTGATTTTAACAACCTTCTTTAATGTCTTGCCCATCTGATTTCAATTCAAATTCCAATTGTATAGTGTATACAATAAGTAAGACAGTATAGTACTTGTGGCACATAGATTAGAAGAATAAAAATGAGAATATAGAACGACAGTCATGGACTAGGAAGAGAAACAAGAAGCCAACCCCTTCTGTGAGAAAGATGGTGTGCAGGCTGGGAAACAAGAAGAACCGAGTCCCTCCCCACTTCCCTAAGCAACCGGCTGATTTGAAGAAACAGACTGAAATGATAGCTACTGAAGTAAAAAAACAACTTAATGCTTATATTGTTTGATTGACTTTAAAGCCCCAAAACCAGTAGTCTGAGCATCTATTTAGAGGATAACTAAAGGTATCCTCTTGAAAGAAACAAAAACATATAACCACACAAAGACGTATCAAATGCTCATTAATAATAAGTAAATCAATTGGAGAACAAACATTTGCATAATGAAACACTTTAGCAATCAAGTTGGACTATTAATACATGCTACAACATGGATAAACCTCAGAAATGCTACCCCAAATGAAAGAAATCAACACAAGAGACTATATATTGTGAGTCCATTTATAACAGGTTTCCAGAAAAGGGAAGTCTGTGAAGATTAGAGAATAGATCATTTATTGCCAGGTGTTGAAGTGGGACTATGAACTCAGCACAAATAGATATGAAGGAAATTTTGGGATTATGAAAATATGCTACAACAAGATTATGGTAATAGCTGTGTAACTCCTAATATTATAAATGGGGCTGGAGGTTTGCTTAGTGGTACAGCTTGCCTAGTGGGTGAGACGCTGGGTTTGATCCCCAGCACCTCAAAAATATTTATAACAACAACATAAATATACACACATATTATACATGCATGCAGTGGTGAATTTTATGGTGTGCAAGATATATTACTTAATAAAGATGCTTTTTAAAAAAATGACATTCATGATTCTAACAATCCTCTTAAAACTCCAAGAACCAGTACCCCAAATTTAGTGTTTATCACTTCCATCTTTTAAGCAGATATACCACTAAACAGTATAACTTCACTTTCCTGTTTAACTTTTTATTATAAAGTTGTATATCCATATACCCTATATCTAGGCTATTAAGGTTTTTAAATACCTATCTTTTTTTCTTACATATTTTACAGCATAGACACCATGAAATTTCATCTCAAATTCTTTTGCATATAGCTATAAAAATAAATTTTCCAGGCTGGGCATGATGGTGCATGCTTGTAATCCCAGGGAGGCTGAGGCAGGAAAATCACTGTATGGGGCCAACATGGGCTACATAGTGAGTTTACAGCCAGACTGAAATGCATAGGGAAACTGTGCTGCAAAAACAAAAATCTTTTTCCAATTAACAAAAATTTTATTCCTTAATTATCATCCTATACATAGTCTGTATTTAAAATATCTTCAATGAAAACAAAATGTCTTTTATTACTTATTAGGGTCTACACATCCCATTTGATCATCTCTTAAATCTCCATTAATTTAGGTCACCCCCTGTTCTCAAATCCCACCTCTTGTTTTCTACAGTAATGCTGTATTCTTTTTTTTGGTATCAGGGATAGAACTCAAGACCTTGAACTTGCCAGGCAAGTACTGTGCTGCTGAGCTATATCCTATAATGCTTTATTCCTGAAGAGACCAGTTCACTTGCACTACAAAGTAGCTGTCTTCTTTATTAGCCTGAATGCTTCCTTAACTTGAACTTGTAATACCTGGTACTTCCTATAACATGAAAGTTAGATCTTAAGGCCTGATCACTGATCAAAGACATGCACCAACACATTCCCCTTTGTGTGTACTTTTATAATGTTTGTAATAGAAGATTTTATTTCCTCTGGTAGTGTATAACACTGTGCTTTTAGGTGGCTCTCTATGAAAAAGAACTCTGAGGCTATATCCTTGCATGATAAGAAAAAAATACCACTATCAATTATGTATGCCATTTGTAAAGGTTGAGTAAGTGGTGGATGCAACGAACAGTTTTGTTGTTTGTTTCTTTATTTTGCCAGTACTAGGGCTTAAATCCAGGACTTTGTTCATGCAAGACAGTGCTCTGCCACTGAATCATGCCATTATAGCCTTGTTAAAATATTTTAAGGAGGAGGTGATCCATGCCTGAAAACCAGCACCATGCATGGGCTGCTGGCGGAGTGGAGACAGCCAGACCCAGGCCTCTCTCTGTGAGTCAGCACCATTTGAGGACTGTGGAGGGGAAGAACCAGGCCTCACAGAAGTGATTCTCACCTGGAAACCATACCATTTTCACTGTTTTGCTGGGTTGGGTTTTATTGTCTTTTGTTTTGTTTGATTATGTTAAATCTGATGGCATGAGCAGCTATTTCAAAGACAGCAAGACATATTATGATAGCCATTTTGGATTTACTATTGTCTTGTTTTGAAGTCCTTTACTGCAGTCTTGTTTTATTTTTGCTTCTATTCTATTCTGTTCTGTTTGATTTTTATTATATCTGAGGGTATCTGCAGCTGTTTTGAAGACAAAAGGCATTATGGCAACTATTGTTGACTTTGTAAGGTTTTGAAGTCCTGTATTACTTATACTAGTTTATTTTTATTGGTTTTATTGTTTATTTTCCTTGATTTTATCCTCTTTAAAATAAAAAAATAAAAATTTTATTTTGACAAAGATTCTTGTTAAGTTGCCGGCTATCTTTGAACCTATAATCCTTCTAGCTCCAGCTTCTTAAGTAATTGGGGTTACAGCTGTATGCCATGAAACCAGGCCCAGAAGGGAATATAATTATTGTGTTTGTTTAATTTCATGAGTTAGTTTTTTTTTTCTCAGTAGATTATGAATTCTATGACAGTAGCCTATGTATAACATACTACTAATTACACAGTAAGAGCTTAATAAATTTCCAATCAAGTTTAAGACAAGTCTATTGGGATACTTTAGGTCATATTTAGTATAATCTTTAATATCTGATTTGAGGAATACCATTATTTAGATCTCCTCTTGGAATTACTTAAAAGTACTAAAGTGGTTAAAAAAAAAAAAAAGAACAGATGGACAGCTGTTCTTTCTGGAGGATCTGTTACTTTCTTGTTGCTGGGACAAAATATCCAACACCCACAGTAGAAGTTTTCAATTTATAGTTGGCTGGTCCAAGGCAAGATGGCAAGGCAGAGCAGGCAAGATACAGCAAGCAGCACTGGGCTGGCCTTTATTTCTGTCCCTTTATATTCCATTGAGACTGTAAGCCTATTGGTTGCTGGGCATTCCCATTATCTACATCCAGAAATATGCTAAACCATCAGTGGACTCATTAGTTGTCACACTTAATCCTCGCATCACACATCCTAGATCTAGAAGCTACTTCTAAAAAGTTCCCACCTATGAGGGCATGAGGCATTGAGGGTGGTATCTAGATACAAGTACTAACATGGAGTGAGATGGAATGTCAGTATTGCTTTAATTTGCATTTCTCTAATTGCTAGAATTCTGAACATTTTTTAATGTATTTATTGGCTATTTGTGTTTCTTTCTCTGAGAATTATTCATTTAAAAAGCCCATTTTTTGATTGGGTCTTTTATTTTGGGGAGTCTAATTTTTTTTAGTTCTTTATACATTCTAGATGTTACTCATCTGTCTAAACAATAGGTGACAAAATTTTTTCCCCATTTTATAGGTTTTCTCTTTACTCTGCTGGTTGTTTCCTTTGCTCTACAGAACCTTTGAATCAGTTATGATCCGTTTTGTTGAGTGTTGGTGCTGTCTGTTGTGGAATGGGGTTCTGTTTTCATGAATGGGGGAATCTTTCACTGGTAGTGGGAACATAAACTAGTACTATTAGGAAAATTCCATCCAACCTAACTATTTTCCTCCTAGACATCTTCCCAAAAGAATTAAAACATCATAATTCAGTGATACATGCAAACCCATTTTTGTAACACATCTTGGAAATGGCTTATATGTTCATCAACGGATGAATGGATAAGGAAAATGTGGAATTATACAAGAAATAGTATCCTGCCATAAAGAAGAATAAATTTCTATCATTTGTAGGAAAATGATGGACTATGGGACTATAATTTTAAATGAAATGTGACACATGAACTTAAATATCATATGGTTTCTCTTATATTAGGAACTAAAAATATAAATAAAGAGCAAAATAAAATATAATGGGGAAAAAAGATGGAGGCAGGGAAAAATGTAGCTAGGAAGGAAAGGAAAAGAACTCAGATGTAAAAAGAAATAAGATATGTCACATACATGTACTAATTTCACAATGAATATATTCATTATGTATTAGAAACATACTAAAAAACTATAAGGAAATAAAAATACATTAAAATCTAAACATTAATGATAGTAGTTTATAAATACCTTTGGAAGAATTTCTAGTATCAGTTTTAACAATAGTTTTACGTTTCCATGTATAAAGATTATTAATATATTAAATTTATTAATATAGTGAGAATTGTGTAGATATGATTTTCCTAAGATTTTATTTCCTGGAAAACAAATATCCTAAACTAAAAACATGGTTAGAAACAATATTCAGAATATTCTCAAGAGAAATCAACTATGAAACTATCATCTGACTATGAAAAAATTAATAAATTACTGACAAGAAAACATAATAAAACACCAAAACTTCAAAGTAATTTCTTAAAGATTGTGTAACATCAAGAGTATCATCTTTCAATTTCAAAAGGTTTATGGAAAAGGATACATAGGACCAGGCAGGTGTATAGGCTTACTATCTTCTAATGATGAAAAGTAAGAGAAATATATGTTACTTTTACTCACAGGTATAGTTTAGAATCACAGCCTGCCTTACAATTTTTATAATTCTATAAGTACTTGAGGCATGCATCTCAATGTTTTTAATAAAGATTAAAAGACAAGACTTGGAGATTAAATCATTTGCCCCTTGATTTGAAGCTTGGAACACACATATAAACTTTCGGCTCACAGAGAAACAATAATAAAGCCAAATCATAAGCATCTGCCTGGCCAAGTGCAAGGTCCCGAGTTCAATTCCCAGTATCAAAAAATTTTTTAAAAAGCCAAATCATATATCATGCAAATGACTATTTTTATTGTGCTGAACTTTATCTTTATAATGCCAGAAATATTAATGTTTAAATCCAGACAGATGTAAGGGTTATTTCAATGGCTATGTGTCAAAAAATTGCTGAAGATTAAAGTATCATTTAATTTCATTAGCTTTTTCCAGAATGCAAGGCAGTTACAATAAAACTTACCTCACTCTTCTTACTAATGTGATCTGTAAATGAAAAAAAAGTGAGACTTAATTGAAGAGAATTACACACAAAAGTGTTTTAACATATAAAAATACCAAAGTAAAAATTATAGCAAGGGTTAACAAAGTATTAAAGGTTTCCTAGGACTCACAGCTGATTTACTTTTCTAAGTTTAAGATGTTAAAATTCAGAGCATCATTAGCAACTTGTTCAGCTTGGTACCAATGAGTCGTCCCTCTGCTTCCTAGCAATGATGTTTGCATCAAGGAGTGCCATTCAGTTTGAGAATATAGGCTCCATATAATATAGATATGTGGTTTCAAAATGTGGGCAGAAGAAAAATAGCATGTGCAAAACGAAATCAGAGCACTCTAACTGCAAAAACTTCACATTACTGCCATTGTTGAATGAAATGAAAAGTGTAACTAATGTATAGCATTTAAAATTATTCGCTATTTACTTTAAAAATATTCTAGTGATTTGATAGTACCATGAAAAAACCCTTAAAATTGACATTTATAGAATTCAAAAATGAACTTATACATAAATATGTTTACATTAAATAAAGCATTGACTTAGCAATGTTATGGTATTTCTAGAAAAGAATTAGATCAGAATAAAGAAAGGAAGATGTAAAGGAATCTACACAGACACAAGGTTGAATCTTAACTACAAATTGGAAGCATATATTTAAACTGGGGATGATCAAAATATCAACTGTAACACTTAACAATGCTTCTTGTATAGAGGAGAAATTTTCCATTCCCAAAGAATGAAAATCACAGAACAGCTTTCTAAAGACTAAGACTATGAAAAAGATGTTTTTGCCCTGTAGTATTTTCCCTGATCACAATAGTATAGATAAATACAATAAACTGTAAATAAAAAGGTTCACAACAAAATGCCAAATTCTGAGAGGTTGCAGTTATTCCTCTGTCATGTTCTATATAATATACTATGTGATGCCAAAATGTGAGGAAGAATACAATCTGTAGTAATTATGATTTGTAAAAACTATGCACCTTCCCTTTGATAAGGGCCCAATCAGAAGAAGGAGCACACTGAGGCTGTGACTGAGGAGTTCCCAGGTCCTCTCTTTTTTCTCTGCTTCCTGGCCACCAAAGCATGAGCAGTCTTCCTCTGACATGGCCTTTCTCCATGTCTGCCTTGGAACTAACCTCCCATGGACTAATCGCTCTCAAACTCTTAAATGAAAATAAACATCTACTCCTTTAAGTTGTGTACTTGTATACGGGATATTTAGACTCAGCACTGAGAAAGCTAATACAGTGTGTGTGTGTGTGTGTGTGTGTGTGTGTGTGTGTGTGTGTGTGCTGAGATGAACAGGAGACTGAACCCAGGGGTGCCCCACCACTGAACTACACCCTCAGCCCATTTTGTTTTTTTGAGTCATGGTCTCACCAAGTTGTCCCAGGTTAGCCCTAAACTTGTGATTCTCCTGAAATCTGTATTTCTTTTTTGGGGGGAAAAATACTCAGCTGAGATTATAGGCATGTACCACTGAACTCAGCTTATGACACATATTTTAATATGAAACCTTTCTTACTTAACCTAGAGAGTTCATTGTATCATACAAGTGTGTTCTTTCATCACAGGTAGAGAACTTTCTTTATTGTCAAAGAAATGCAATATAACCCTCTAAATTTATTCCTAATGCCAAAAGTAGGCTAATTTCTTATGAATTAAATAAATCAGGGGGCTGGGGATTTAGCTCAGTGGCATAAGCACCTGCCTTGCAAGCAGGCGGTCGTGAGTTCGATCCCTGGTACCGATAAAAAAAAAAAAGAAAAAAGAAAAAAAAAGTGTAATGAATTAAATAATCTCTTTTTCAATGAACACATAACTACTCATCCAGTATTCTGAGTGGTGTACCCAAAGCACTATTTAATAAAATTTTCTGTGATAATGGTAATTTTCTAAGACTGGGCTAATATGGAAGCCACTAGTTATATGTGGCTCCTGAGCACTTGAAATGTGGCTAATATAACTAATAAACTATATTTTTAAAATGACTGCCACACATGAATGACGGTGCCATACTGTGCAGCAGAGGTTAAGGGTTACCGTTTCTTATACTAGAAATAATGTGCTTTGGAGTCTGTTTTTAAAAGTTTAATGGATAGTGAATTCCTTCAGTCTTCACTCTCATTATGAATATAAATGATACTATGAACAGTTCTCTGATAGTAATTCTCATTCTTAAATTTGTATTTTAGTTTTTTATAGCCTTAAAAAGTTAAAAGATGGAAATCTGAAGATACTATCCTTGGCTTAGTGTAAACCAAATTTCTCTCTTTTGATAACATATATATATATGTGTATCTATATATAGTATATATATAGTATCTATATATAATGTTTACGAGCACTCAAAAACTACAAATGTCAAATTTATTTCTGGTGTTATAACAAATTGCTACTGAGTTGTATTCTTCTTTCTTTTTTTTTTTTTGTACCAGGGATCGAACTCACGACCTTGTGTTGACAGGCAGGCACTTACGCTGCTAAGCTAAATCCCCAGCCCCTACTGAGTTTTATAGGGTTTTAGTGGCTGATTTAAAGCTGCAAGTTTATTTCCAAATAGATTGCTATGGTGTAAACATTTGCCCTTTCCAGCACTCAAGCTAAATTCTGTCATTGGAACAGTATCAAGAAAGGTGATGGGTGCCATACTAAAAAGTGAGTTAGATCTCTCAGTGACCTTTTGCTTTCTTCTGTGTGACAATCAGCAAGAAAGTCTTCACCAGATGACACCCCGACATGAACTTCTCTGCCTTCAGAAATGTAAGCCAATGAATTAGTTTGTTTTAAATTATTCAGTCACAGGTACTCTGTTTTAGCAGTAGAAACTGAACTAAGCCCAAAGCTTATATTTCATGTTCTAAACAATATAACATTACAAAATGATTTCAAGTATTTTTTAACTAAGAAAGATATTTAATAAAAATTATTCTAAGTGGTCTTCTAGAATAAGAAATATTTCATATATATTACCCTCAGATTGGAAATCCTTTAATGACACTGTAAGAGGTTTGTCTCTTCCTTGATGATTCTTTCTTTTTTCTTTTTTATGTATAACCTTTGACTGAGTCGAAGCATTTTCAGTGCTTTCAAACTCCTGAAAAGAATTATCAACAATAATTAAGTTTCATTTATAAATTATAAAACCAACTCACCAATAGACACTGTGTCTTTTAAAATTTTACTGAAAGCATGTTATGAATTAGACGTAAAACATCCCCAAAAGTCTCCTACATTCAGGGGGTAGCTTTGAAAAGTGACTAGATAATGTGGTGACTTTATGCATCATGAGATTAACCCACTGATGATTTTGTGGCTGAATGTACTGTTAGGAGACAAAGAGTCTATTCTTATCTCTGGCTCCTCCTTTTTTTCTACTTCCTGGCTGTATGAAGGTAAACAGTTTTCCTCTACTGTGTTCTTCCAGTCTTGGAGCCAACTGACCATGGGCTAAAACCATAAGTCAAACAAATCTCTTTCCCTCTAAGCTGTGGACATCAGGTATTTTGTTCCAGCAACAGCAAAGTGACTAATATAGAAAAACGGTACCAGTAGTACAGTTGACACTGGGACTATACCTAACCATGTGATTCAGAAGCCTTTGGAACTGCTTTGCAAAAGGAATTTGGAATAGTTTACAGATATAAGCTAGGAGTCCTAGAATGCTGTAAGCAGAGCAAAAAGAGAGATTGTGATCAAAGCTCAAAAGACTAAAATGCTGATAGGAATGTGAATAGTAAAGGCCAGGGTTATAAGGTTTCAGTGGGGAATAATTCTACTGTAAAATGAACTAGGGGCCATGCATGCTTCATTCACGTAAAGAATTTGTGTATGTTTTATCCTGTTGTAAGACTTATAAGGCTGAATTTATTTTTGTTTACTTTTTTTTTTTTTTTTTTTTGAGACATGGTCTCACTAGTAGTTCAGGCTGGCCTTCAACTCACTATGTAGCCCAAGATGGCCCTGAACTTGCAGTGATCCTCCTGTCTCAGCCTCCCAAGTGCTGGAATTATAGGCTTGTGCCACACCACACACAATCTGTAAGACTGAATTTAAAGGTGGCAGACTGAAAGATCTGATAGAAGAAATTTCAAGGCAGCCCATCATTCAGGTTGTGGCATAAATACTGCTAGAAGATTTTAGCCAGATCTATAGTGAGAAATCAGGAGCAAACAGCAGAACTAACTGATCTTAAAAGTCTGCAGTTTTGCCAGAAAAAAAGTACCTACACAGTTGGGGGAAATGACAGAACTGTTACTGAAAAGATTACTATTAAAAAGAAGCCAAGTATTCAGTATGAGGACAACAGGAAAGATCTCCTGAGAGCTCATCTCAGGATATGGCCTGATCAATCCCAAGTTTAATGGTTTAAAAACAGAACTCCTCTGAAAGCCTCTGCTTTGAGAAGAGTACACTAGAGCTCTCTTCTCATTCAGAACTACCTAGAGAGTGTTTCCCCAAGTTTGGCAACACCTCTTCCAAAAAAGCCATAATACTGTTAGAGCAAGCAGCAGACCTTTGAGTCATCCATGTGGTGCTGGTTTTCAGACATGTAGAATCAAGTCCAAGAGGATTACACCCAGATTTCAAAGGAAGGCCAGTTTGTGATGCTGTGAGAGTGAAGCTGAAGAACCCAAGAATAGTTTAGTGGAAACCCTAAAAAAAGCTAAAGATGCCAGAAATATGGATCTTTGGCTGAGGATGGCTGCAGACAGTAAGCACAGCCAGCCCAAGAGAGGCCTTGTGGGCTACAACTAGCAATGCTATAGGGGTGGAGCCTCTCAAATACTGTAGAGCTCACATCTCTTCTCTGCCCCAGATGCTGGACATAAACTACAGGATTTCATGTTTGCCCTTCTGGGTTTCAGTCTTGTCCAAGTCTCTTACATTCCCTTATTTCTTCCTCTTAGAATGGGAGGGTATACCCTGTGCTCCCATATATTGGATGTACAGTAGTACTTTGGTTCATGGACTTAAATTATACAATTTGAGAAAAAAATGGCCATGTTTGCATTCGAAAGATGGCTATTGTCATGTTTGTCACCTAACACAGAGTTTACAAACAAAAACAAAATTTTGCCAAATGCTTCTGTTTGTGAATCATACTGTTTGCAAATAAAACCATCTGTTAGCCAGGCCTGGCAGTGTATGCCTGTAATTCCAGTACTTGTGAGGCTGAGTCAAGAGGATTGTTTCAAGGCCAGCCACAAACTTGAAATTTTCCATTTAGGCTACAAAGTAAGTTTCGGGCCAGCTTGAGCTGTATAGTGAACCTCTATCTCAAAAAGATAAAACAAACAAACGAACAAACAAACCATCATTTGTGTACCAAGTTACTGTTTGTATTTAACTTTCTGTTTGATTTTTACAGGAGATCATGGATCAAAGTTTGCCTGGAGTCTCAAAGGAGATGTTGAATTTAAGCCACTGGCTTCTAGTTTCTGTTATCCTATGATACTAAACAAAAGTCAATCTATTAACTGCCAAATAGAAAAGCATTACTTTTCCAATCATTGCTTGTTTTTAAAAAAATACATTTTTGCACATTCCTAAGTATCCTTTACTGAGTTTTTCCCTCATAATTCTTTGTCTTATTCTGTAATGCAGACTGGTATTGAAATCATTATGTAGTCAAGACTGGTTCTGCACAATCCTCCTACCTCAGCCTCCTGAGTGCTGCAATTAAGGCAAGTGCCAGCAGGCCCACTTCCCAATCTGCTCGAAAGAGTACCTCTCATCCACCATTATCTTATTCTTAATCTGTTCTTATGCTTTATACTCATGTTCTTCAATGTCAAAATTTGAAGTTCTCCTTTACTTTAATGATTTAACATATGTACAGACAACTAGACCACTCAGCTGGAATGTTCAACAGGAATTATTACTTAAAATATGTTTATCTTTCCATCTAGCCATCCTGTCTTCCCCACTTGGTCCTCCACTAAATATCTGGGTATATCTCCACCATGTACGAAACTATCTATGCCACAAACTTCATAGTATCCTTTCCCTATTCTTTCTACATGCTTAATATCAAGTTAGTTACCAGCCCTTGTTGAGTTCATCTCCTAAAGAATCTATTTGGGATTTCTCATACCCTTTGTCATTTCCCTATCTTGTTTTGCTTGGACACTGAAATTTTTTAGCCCTTTGATTCATCTCCTTCTACAATACTACAACATAAGTTTCAAGAACAAAAACCTCAAATTTATAAGCTCAAAATATTCAATAGCTTTGTGTCAACAGGTATATAAAATACAACCTTATTTATAACCCATCCTGACCATATTTCCAAGAATTCTAGGTTCCCAAATTATAGTTTTTCAATCATGCTGTGTTCTTTCACACATATATATCTTGTATACTTGCTATACCTTACTTGAGAATATCTACTTTCCTCCAGCCCACCTTATAAGCTTCTCATATATCTAACATGACTTTTCTTCAAGAATTCTTTTTGAAATTTCATTCCCTTCAAAGGCACTGAAGGGTTGTCTATTTTTCTGAATTCCCACTATACTAGTAACTTGTTCTCTCAGTATTACACACACTCAGTATTATTTAGTGAATTAATGAGAGAAGAAAAAAAGCCATGGCATTCCAAACTTCAGTTATCTATTATAAAATCCTTAGGCTAACACAATTCTTATTTTATTGAAATATTAACCTAAAACTCAAAGACTACATCAATGTAATCACATAAAATTAGCCAATGCATACAAAAGAAGTTCCTCAATTCTCTTGAGAGTCAATACTGTCTGATAAAACCAAACCTTTGAGGTACTGGTGTAATTTATGGCAAGAAAATTGGCTAGACTATGGTATTTTACCATCATACTCTACTTGTTCTCCAATAACACAAGTAATCCTAATACCTGTTTTTAAAAATTTTTTTTGGTCTTTTTCATTTTTGTCAGTACCGGGGATCAAACTCACGACTGCCTGCTTGCAAGGCAGGTGCTTATGCCACTGAGCTAAATCCCCAGCCCCTAATCCTAATACCTTTAAAATCTTGCCATACATTCAACAAAAAATCATTATTGTGTGATAATACTCTAATTGATAAAAATTTGTCTTAATTGAGCAATAGAGGAAGATCTTTCCAGTATATCCTGAAAGGCCATTTAAAAAGATTAAATAATAGTAAATTGGGTAATACACACACACACACACACACACACACACACACACACACCCATCTAATTTTTGCAATGCTGAGGGCTGTCTTGCACATGGTAGGCAAAGCTAACCCCTCATAGCTGTGTCCATTCTTTGTAACTGCTTACTTTTTGTCTAAAATGACATATAATAAATCATTCATAAGCAAGACCCTGTCTCAGGAAAACAAAACAAACAATTTGTTGTGAATTTCATTTCCTCTTTTCCCTTTGTTTTTGGTGAATAAACTGTTTAAACATCCTAAAACATCAGACAAAGCTTAGACACATTTTATTTCATTTTGCAGTGCTGGTGAACAAACCCTTTGCCACGCCCATGCCAGGCAAGTGTTCTACCATTGAACTACATTCTCTGGCCCTAAAGGACAACTTTTATGTAAAATTCAGAAACATTAGTTCTAGCCTTTGACCATTTAAAACTTCTAAAATATAGAAATCAATAAACAAGAAAAATACCTTTTTGTGCTCTTCATATTCTAATTTACTTAGCAACAATGCTTTCTCAAGATCAGCTTCAAACATTTCAGATGTCAGCTAAAAAAAAAAAGTTTCACAGTAAACAGATAACAGTACTAAACCCATTAAAAAGTAACTATGACACAAGCCAGTATATATAGTATATAGTTTTGAACAAGTATGTTCAAAGACATCATTTTTTCAGTTATTTAACCATGCTACATTAAGGAACTCTATCATATGTAAGATACCAAAGCACAAACTTCTACTTCTGGGATTTCTATTTCTCCCTTCATGTTACTTATCTGCTGTATATAATAAAACCTTAACTTTCATTTCAGTAAGAATCATACAAATAAATCAATACCAAAATAGATGAAAAGACAGTATCCAGTTTGGGACAACAAAAATTTTATCAGAAACTACAGCTAAAAAAATATGGTAATACTGAAAAATAACAGTAAGAATTATTAAACATAATATACCATTTCCTGAATATAGAAAAATCCACAGGTACAAAACCTTTAAATAGGTGATCAAATGCGTTCATATATGCCAGGTATTACAGAATAAATACAGTGCAGCTTTTTTTTCTTTTGGTACTGGGGATCGAACTCACGACCTAACGCTTGCCAAGCAAGCACTTCTGCCCCTGAGCTAAATCCTTGGCTCTAGTGCAGCTTTTAATATTCAAGTTATATAGTAAAAGTGTGTCATATATTTCAATCATTTAATGTGGTAATGAAATGACTCCTCTTTCTAATCACTTAGTACAACTTTAACTTTTTACAACCTATATTTCACTTCTCTCCAGTCTAATTATTCTCTACAAGAATTAGTTTTCTTAAATGCCAGACAGAATTGCTGCAGTACATGGATAAGGATTTGGTTGTACACTGTGTGGGATAAGGTGAACTGTTTAAAGCTGCAAAATATTTCAAAAACTTGTATGACAGGAGTAAATATCCTAGGTTAGAGTAAAATCTATGCATGGTATGAACATGGTTTATTTTTCTCTGTCCAGAATTCCTTTCTGTAGTCAAGTGTCCTTTAATTATTCAGCAGGATAGCCAAGCACATAACCCTGAATATTACCTAACACCATATCCATACCAATAATGAAGCTTTCACAACCAACAACAAAAGGGAAGGTTTGATTCTTTTTTGCTATTCTAAGAAATAAATTTGGGGAATAAAGACAAAGTAAGTGAGTTTTTCTCACAATGAACAGCCTTAAAAAGTAGTATCTAGTAACTCACACCTCTGAGTGCCCCTGAACTTCATCTTTCCCAAAGGTTTTAATTCAGATCTATGGATTATTCAATATCCAATGAATTGTTTGTTCCTGAGTTTTTATTTTATTTTTATATATTTTTTTATTTTATTTTTTATCGGTACCGGGGACTGAACTCACGACCACCTGCTTGCAAGGCATGTGCTTATGCTGCTGAGCTAAATCCCCAGCCCCTTGTTCCTGAGTTTTAAGAGTTATTTTACTGCTTAATAATTTTAAAATAAGATAAAATAGAAACCAATTAAAAGTGGGGTGACCTGTTTCAAAAGGGATACCCCAATCTCTTGTCAGCCTTTCACTTAAGATCAAGTACAAAAGGTATACATTTAAAAGTAGAAAAATATTTACACTAAATACTGTAAACTCAATCTTTTCTTCCTAATCAAAGCTATTCCTTTGAAAACATCTCATCATATCCTATGCTGAGATGAGAACAAGCATCAGGTGTATACATACAAATATTAATCTAACTCTAAAAAATACTATTAGAATTAAAATGACACCACCATGTAGCAAAATCTCATTAAATCCACAGTAAACTGTATGCATTTTTCCCACAGAACAATCTGAATTTAAAAATTCAACACAAAATAATAATGTGTAGGAAAAATATAATAACCATTTAGATTTACATTACTATATAAGTGGGCATTAAAAAATAACAAACAGTGGAAGGGTAAAAAAAAAAAAAAAAAAGTGGAGTCAGCCACATCTTGGGCAGGTCCACCAACTACCAGCATAGGCAAGGAGAAGCAGTCAGACAAGTCCCTATACAAGCCTCTCGCCTTTGGTAATCTCAGAAAAGCCACAAGTATCTGGAGAAGCCTGCCCTATACACCACTGCTTCCCTGGAAACCTAGGTTAAGAGAAACTCAGATGCCTGGTCCAGTCTAAACTGTCAACAGGCCCAATTTGGGAAACACATGGGGCCACAAAACTGGCTCTTGAGATGGAACCCAGGAAAATGTCAAGACGGAGCAAAAGACAACCTTAGATCTCCATCCCAAACAGAACAAGTCTAGGAGACATAGACATGGAAGAGACTGGAGGTTCCACACCTGAAGTATCTGAAGGGATAATGGTTGAAGTAAAGAAACAACTTCATGAGGCTGTAAAAGTATCAGATCAGAAATAATATTTCAGATAAAAGAAAAATGACAAACATAATGAAAAATTTTTGAGCATATCTAAAGAAGACATAGGTAAAAAAGAGGAGCATAGACAGATAGCAGCTGGCTACAGAGGCTCGCTGAGATAGTCAACTTAGAATTCAACATAATACAGTGTGGGGAGCCCCGAAGAGAAGGAGACGAATTCTCTCAACCCAAGAAGAAACCAAGGTGAGAACCAATCAAACATATAGTCCTGGTGCTATTATTGGAACAGCTAAAGGTACCAGGCTCCCGCCGTAGTGGGCGACTTGTCAAGCCATTCGAGGTCCTGCCGCTATGGCTCACTGGAGGCGCAGTCACACTGAGGTCGGGGGTTGGCCAGCCCAATGCAGAACTGAGCTGGTGGGGAGCCTGCATAGACCTGTTGTGACGGGTGTGGAGCCATTCCACAGAAAGTGGGGGTCCTGTGGAAGACAATCTGGGATCAGGCAGGACTGGCAAGTACAAGGGAAAGCAGTGACTTCAGTAAGTTGTTCCCTTCCAGAACGAGATTGGTGGAGTGCACTAGCTGAGACCCAATAGGTTATCCAAAATCAATTCCTTACAGCAACAGCACACACTAATGCAGTGAAGCCTCAGAAGTCTGACTAACCCAGAGAGGAGGCAGCGCAAAGTAATACAGTGCAGGCCTCAGCAGCTTGACTTGAGGGAGGGGAGGGGCCAGCACATGCTACCCCTGTTTGCAATTTACTAGCACACTGCAGTGGGAAGGGTCACCTAGCCAGCGTGCTTCAGAAGAATTGTAACCAACAAAGAAATAAACTGGGGCCTCCTGGAAGAAACAAAAAAGATGGGAAGAGGAAGCAACAAGAAAAAGTCACCAGGTCCCAACCCTGAGAACACTGACCCAGGACAGGTAAAAATAAAGGAGAATGAACACAGCAAACAAGCAGTATCAGACACAGCACCAGTGGACATAAAGAGATATCTTTGGGACCTCATAGACTAGTTCAAAAGTGAAATATTTAGCCAAGTAAAGCAAGATACAAGAAGAACAATAAAAGAGATGTAAGCACCCCTCAAGCAGACACAGATGGAAGAAGGGAAGAACTCAAACAAAGGAGAGAACCATTTGATGAAGACTATAAAGAAAATATAGACTACATGAAGCAGATTAAAAGAGATTACCAGAAAATTAAAAATTCTATGGAAAGATGGCAAATCTGCTTAAAAGAAACTAAGGATAGATTATCCAAACTTGAGGACAGTTTTGCAATGTGGGATTATGAAAGGAAAAATTTTAAAAAATAACAAGGAAACAAGCAGTAACAATACAAAGGCTAGATAATAGGAACACTTCTGCACTGTTGGTGGCAGTATAGACTGGTGCAATCACTGTGCAAATCAGTGGGGAGGTTCCTCAAAAAGCTGGGATTGGAGGTCCCAGAAGAATTGAAAACATCATACCACAGTGATATGTACGCAACCATGTTTATAGCAGCACAATTCGCAGTAGCTAAACCTTTGGAGAAAACCCAAATGCCCATCAACTGAGTAATGAATAAAAAAGATGTGGTATCTTTATATAATGGAACATAACTCAACTATAAATAAAGACCACACTGAGGCTTTTATAAGTAAATGGATTCAATTTTAGACCAAACTTGTAAGTGAAATAAATCAAACTCACATGTGTAAATACTATATTGTCTTCCTAGTGTAAGAAACTAAAAGAGTAAGTAAGATAAAAAATCTTCAAGAAATACTGTGAAAGGCTAAGAAACTGCTCAAAGAGGGAAAAATAACTCTGAGAAAAGCAGAAAATAAAGTGAAATAAGATATAAGTTTGTATATATACACATAAGATTATTAGGACGATTGTACTACTAATTCTACTAGTTCTTGGAATGAAACAGATAACATCTGTAAGATTAGATCAATTTTACATGACTATATCTGATAACTCAAATAAGATTTATGAAGATAACTATGCAAAACAAGAAAAATTGTTATGTTCCTACCACCTTATTTTGAAAGCCTACATTGTGATTATTTTGGGCTCTTAGACATATTTATTTGTTGTTTTGTTTTTCCCTCTAACACAGAAAGGATAGATGTACACATATAGACATATATGCCTAGAACTTTACCTAAAGGGTTTACAAGAATTGATTTGATTATGTGTGATGGAATGAACAATTACACTGAAGAAAATGAGACACCATGGTAGCCACTGATGATTTCTTATCATTTTGATTCGAAAGCCAATAATGCTTTTATTCTTAGTTTTGATTGTGGACAGCTATTTTGAAGAAAACAAGAGACATTAAGGTAGCCATTATTGATTTCCTAGTGTCTGGTCTTGAAAGCCCTTAAGGCTCTCTTGTGTTTTGATTGCTTTTATACTATTTTGATGTGTATTAACTTACTGTGTGTGAAGGTATAGACAACTATTTTGAAGAAAACAAGAGACATGGTAGCCATTGCAGATTTTCTGCTTTTTCTGAAACCCTGTGTTACTTGCATTGTTTTACTCTGCTCTGCTTCATTCTGTTTTGCTTTGTTTTGTTTTATTCTCTTTAAAATAGAAAAAAAATAAAACTGATATTCTAAGAATGATAAGAAAAGTCATTCTAATAAACCAAACACACATAGAACAATACTCATTCCCTAGAAATCCTACAATAGTTTAACACATAAGCAAATAAATAATGCTTCATTTCTTACATATATAGTATCTCCTAAAATACATTCCAGTTAATATGTTATTTGCCCAGACATGACAACAAAAACCTGACAACAAAAACTTGGTCTTAGTAAAATATTTACTTTGCTGTTCTTAAAGATATATAAGTCTAGAGAAATAAAATGTCATTAGTAAATAGGTTGAAGAAACAAAAGTCAAAGGCTGGGGATATACCTCAGTTACACAGTGCCTATCTGGCAAGTATGAAGTCTTGAGTTCGATTCTCAGTACCAAAACAAAAAAAAGTCAGTAACAATGTTATGTTAAGGTTTTAAAAAGGAAGTTTCTCCTCAAAATCTTACTCTTTAAGATTTTTTAAAATGATTTACTTGGTTTTTTTTTTTTTGTCTTTTTCGTTTTTATTGGTACCAGGGATCGAACTCACGACTGCCTGCTTGCAAGGCAGGCGCTTATGCCGCTGAGCTAAATCCCCAGCCCCAAGATTTTTTAAAATGAGATCTCTAGTTCTACAAATATGATTTCTAAAATTTGAAATAATTTAATCATGTTCACTTACCTTCTCTACCTTTTCAATTGTAAAAAAGATGAATTTAAAAACAACACAGGGTTAGGAGACCAGCTCAGGGGTTGAGTGTATTTCTAGGATACTAAAGGCCCTGATTTAATCCCCAGCAACAAAACAAACTCCAAAAATCAAAAACAGAAAAATTGGCTGGGTGTATTCCCAACATGCCTATAATCCCAACACTTTGAGGCGGAGACAGAAGGATCACTTTGAGTTCAAGGCCAGCCTGGGCTACAAAAGAGTTCAAGTCAGCCTGAATTGCATAGTGAAAACTCTGTTTTAAGACAAAAACAAAGCAACAACAACAACAACAAAACTCCAGAAAAGTTCCCACAATATACTACATTGAATTGCCAAAACTAACATAAATAATCTGCTTTTCTGGTAGGATGGAAACTTATCAAAAGCAAATGTGTGGATTAATCCAGTAAAACTGTTTCTTAGAAAAGTGGCAGCATAGATTCAGATATATTAATTGCCATGTGGGAAAATGTAGAACATCGTTGAAAAACAAAGCAAAATAGTTTTATTTACTTAGTCATACCTGTTCATCTCTCTGTCTCCACTCTTGCCAGTTTTCTTCTCGTGAATCCTTCTGCACAGGGTTTGACGACATATGGTCTTGTTGAGCATGGCAAAAGGCATGGGAAGATTTCTGGGGAATCTTCTTAAAAGCAAGATTCCTAAGCTATAAAACAAAACAAAACATATTAAATTTAGTTCATTCTTTGGTCTCAGCCGCCAACATGCCATCCAGACTAAGGAAGACCCGGAAGCTTTGGAGCCATGTGAGCCACGGCCATGGCCGCATCGGCAACCACCGGAAGCACCCAGGAGGTCGGGGTAATGCTGGAGGCATGCATCACCACAGGATCAACTTCAACAAATATCACCCAGGTTACTTTGGGCAGGTTGGTATGAGGCATTACTACTTAAAGAGCTTCTGCCCAACTGTCAACCTTGATAAATTGTGGACATTGGTCAGAGAGTGGACATGAGTAAATGCAATGAAAAACAAGACCCGAGTAGCTCCCATCATTGACGTAGTGCGACTGGGCTACTACAAAGTTCTTGGTAAAGGAAAGCTCTCAAAGCAACCTGTCATCATGAAAGCCAAATTCTTCAGCAGAAGAGCTGAGGAGAAGATTAAGGGTGTTGGGGCAGGGAGCTTGAAGACACAGGACAAGGGGGTTCATTAAAATGCTAATGCATGGTTTTCAAATAAATAAATAAATAAAATTTAGTTCATAACTTGATCAATTAAGTTTTTGGAATTTACAAGATAAACAGTACATTTATATTTTACTCCAGATAATTCATATTAGCTTACACAACTAAAATAGCCGTGTTTTCATTATTTATTTTTGTGGCACTGGGGACTAAATAAAGAGTTATTATATTGAGCTACATCCCCAGCTTGTGTATTTATTTATTTAGGTACTGGGGATCAAACTCAAGACCTTGCACTCCCCAGGCAGTTGTTATGCTACTGAGCTATATCCCTGGCTCTTCATTTTTCATTTTTTGAGACAAGTCTTTCTAAGCTACCCAGCCTGGCTTTCAACTTCTGGGCTCAAATGATCTTCCTGCATCAGCCTCTGGAGTTGCTGGGATTACTGGTGCATGCCACCACATGGCTAATTTAAATTAGCTTACTCCCCCCTTCCCCTCCTCAGGTAGGGGATTTAACTCAGAGCCTTGCAAGTGCTATGCAAATGTTCTACTACTGAACTATCTTCTCAACCCTTAATTTTATAATAATCTCTGCAGAATATTATCTTTGTTATCACTTCAGATCATGCTGGTAGGGGTACAGATGAAATGATTAAGCAAAAATAGGTTTACTCAATATACTGCCATCATTTTAATGATTTCTCTTTACTAAAAAAGTTTATAGGCATAGAGTTTTTTTAAAATATGCTTTTATTTTTAAAAAACTTTATAATGCCTTTTTAATTTAGCAAAAATACAATGAAAGTCTAAAATGCAAACCAATATAGTTCAAAAAACTTAAAATTTAAGCTTTAATATACAGACTACCTAGGCAACTCTAGCAACTACTTTTCTAATCCAGAAAAACACAGAAACTAGTTCCAAGCATAATATAATGAATTAAAATGATACAGGCCAAATCACTTCCAACAGTATGAGTAATCTGAGACACAGTAGTTAAAGCAAAAGCAAAATATAGAAATTGTCATGGATTGAACCATATCCCCTCTAAAAAAGTTATGTTTGAACTCCAGCAACCCAGAGACCCAGAGACCTCGAGGTGACCTTATTTGGAAACACAGGATCTGCAGATGTAATCACTTAAGATGAAATCATAAGGAATTAAGGTGGACTCTTACTACTACATGACTGGTGTCCTTATAGGCAAGAATGAAGACAAACATACCCAATAGCACCATGTAAGAATATAACTTTTTAGCAGTAAGTACCCAAAGTAAAAGCCAAAACCCACTTATTTATTGCAAAATATCAACACTTAAATATCCGCAATTAAACCTGATACTGAGGTTTTAGTTTAGGAAGAAAAAAACACACATTAACATCTTTTGTCTTAAAAAAAAAAAAAAAAAACAAAAAACCAAACACATACACTCATGGTATAGGCTTACCAGGGCTGTAATATAGTCAGAGAGAAGAGGCTGCCAAGAAACCCAGGAACTGATGGTTACTACTCAGAAGCCAGAAAGAGGCATGGAAAATTGTACTTAGAATTTCAGTCTTTTTTTGGTGGGGGTGGTGGTGTTTGGCTGGGGATATAGCTCAGTGGCATGGTGCTCACCTGGTAAGTGTGAAATTGCTGAATTCAATCTCCGGTATCATATACAAACATACAAAAATCAAAATAAAAAAGCATTTCACTCAGAGTGACTCTGCTGACACTGTAATTTGAAATTCTAGCCTCTAGAGCTAAAAATAAATTTCTGTCGCTTTAAGTCATCCATATTGTGATTCTTTATGAAGGCAGCTCTAGGAAACTAACAAAGAAGCTTTAAATTGAGGGTCAACAACTTTAACTGATGGTCAATACAGTGGTACCTCAGTTCACAAACTTAATTCTTTCCAAGACTGTGGATGCAGAATTTGTTCCAATTTGGTTGCAAACACAATCTTGGAAAGAATTAAATTCATGAACAAAAGCACCACTCACTGTACACTGTCCTGCAAAAGGGAGCTGGAAGAAACAAACACCTGTTTTAAAAGATGGTTTCCTCTACAGAAAGCACATATGGAAGGATATGCTTCCTTTCCTTTTTTTGAGATGGGATCTTGCTACGTTGCTCAGGCTGGTCTCAAACTTGCTAAAATAATCCTTTCTTCAGCCTCCCAAATGCTAGGACTATGCACACCAATGCCCCGGCTTACTTCCTTTAAAGATTTCACTGTTTTAAATTTTTGAGAGAATAAACATGTGTACTTCTACAGGTAGAAAAAAAAAGACACTTAAAGAAATGTTCCTACATTTGACTTTAAATACACATAAAAGTTTATGTGTATTTGAGTCCATCCACTCAAGTAATATTTAAATATTTACTGAGTACCTAAGTACCTAGACACTCCATGGTTGAACATGGTTACTATGTGTTCTCATGATGCTTACAATCTATGGGAAAAACAGTGCAATAATTATAATTATTACCTCATTTGCTTCACTCTGCTGTTGTTCTTTCTTTTTTCTTCTTTTCTCTCTTTTTTTCTCATTTGTCGTTGATTTGCTTCCCACAGTTTGAGACTTTCCAGTATTCCGACCTTTGCCTTTTCCAGGCTCAGAATCAGAACCACTTCCACTATCAATTTGTAAGAGGGCAAAACGAGAGGCCGTAGTGGGAACAGAACTAAGAACTGCTGAGGCCATGGTACTCAGTTTTCTTTTCAAATGTTTCTATCAAAAATAATTCCTGTGGGGAGAAGAGAAAGAATGAATAAATGCACTTAGTAAAATCTGTTTTAGACTTTAGAATAATCATAAATACACATTTCTCCAGACATCAGATTCTGTGCTGTATTTGGATCTATATTCATAGTCCCACTGATAATACAAATCTACTCAAGGAAAATGATACACTGATATTCAACAGATAACTACTGCAAGACTACCATTATTACAGAGTATTTGTTTTTTCATTTATGAATTTTCAAAAAATCCTGATTTTCCTCTCCTTGAAATACCTCTAGTATACAGTATAACACTTACAGAAAACATCCTATATCAATATAGTTTATAATAGAAAAGAATACCATTTTTCATTTGTCTTACATGTTTACACCTAGCTTCCAAAATAAAAAAATGGAAAAGAACATTCTCATATATATCCAGAATGCTTTAACTTGATTCAAGAGACTGGCTTAGAATTGATAGCAGAAGAACTTAAGTTCCCTCAACCAAGGGAAACTTTTCAAAATCATCTCCTACATTAGCGTTGAGTTCCCTAGTCTCTGTGTACCATATCATTCCAAGCATACGTGAGTAGAATTTCATTTTACTTAGTTTTCTGTCAACATTTCAAGAAACCTAGAAGGTATCCTAAAGGTCCTCTAGCAATTTCCAACTTTTGTTTCACAAATGAGACAACTAGAGCTTAGACTGGTTAAGTGACTTGCCTAAGGTCATTGTACAAGTTAGTCTCACAGTCAGGACCTGAACCTTACTTCATAAGTTCAAAACAAATTCTGTGATTTTTACAAGACTAAGTCCTCTTTCAACTTAAAAAAAAAATAAGATTTTTTCTTCTTCTGTATGTATACATGTGTTGAGCTTGGAACTGAACCAAGGGTCTGGTGTATGTTAAGCGTGTGTTCTACCCTTATATTGGTCTCCAACAGCCTTCTCACATTGCCATCATCCAGAAATTGCTGTCATTTTTTAATAACTTACTCCTTTTCTAAAGTTTTATCATATCTAACTTGAGTCACAATGCTCATATCTAAACTAGCTGAAATCATTTCCACAGTATCTTATTGGTCACATATATATATTTCTTTTTGTATCACAATATCATGTCTATCCTATTCAGTGGGGGAGAAAACTATGCAAAGGTAAATATTAGGAGGTAAGAATCACGGAAGTCCTACTTGAAATCCACATACTATAGTTTGTATGTTTTTAGGAAAAAAGTGAAAAGTACATATTAAATTTTCCATCATTAGAATCCAGAAAAATATTTGAAAATCTTTCAATTTTTCTATTATACATTGAAGAAATATCATGAAGTGATATTTGAAGATGTCACTAAGCAGTCACTAAATCAAAGTGTTTTTATTGTAATAATACGTTAATATCTAATATTCTTATATCCAAAACATGAAAATAAGATAAAATACAACATACCCTGATGGCATCACACTGATATATTGACAATTTTAGGCTTAACTTTGAAAACCTAAGGGCACCATAAATTATTATAAGGGAGAAAACATTATGACAGTAAAAAGAAATTCCAGACTCAAAAAATACTGCAGAGCCAGACATGATGGCCCAATCTGTAATCACAGCTATTGGGGAGGCTGAGGCAGGAGGACTGCCACCAGTTTGAGGCCAGCCTGGGCTATGTAGCAAATCTAAGACAGCCTGAACTACATAGTGAGACCCTGTCTAAAAAAAGAAAACTAGAAAAAATACTGTGGAAAATAGTAATTCTGTTTCCATTTCAGTATCTTCCTAAAACAAACCAATGAAAATTATAGTTGTTCTGAGCAGTTTAGGTACAATAATTCTATACAGCTGTTCAACAACTACCACTAGATCTAACTGTAGGGCTACAAAATTCAAGTAGTTGCTCTTTTACTGCTCACAAATATTCACTGTTCTTCTCTGAAGGAGAATTATGTATCAATTCCCTGTTGAATACTGGCATGACTTACTGTGCCAGGGAAATACAAGCTTTAAAAGCTTTAAAAGCCCATGACTCACCATTTCTTTTCTCTGTGTCTGATTAAGAAAGCGTAGTTTGAAACTACAATGATGAAAGCTAACTTGTGATGAGTAACTTTGGATCTTGTGTGATGTATCTGAAAAACAATTTTGCAGCTTTAAACTGCTGGAATTCTCAGGTTGTTGATGTGTTATAAGGTAGCTTTACATAACTTATTCTTTAAACAAATTTCCTTCCCATTATACAACTGGTAGCAAAACTATGAATTTTGTACTTGAGTTGTAGAACTGAATTTACATTTGAGTTGTAAAACTCACACACAGAAAGTTAAATGTTCATAATTTCTATCCCAACAATTCCTCCAAAGCTCACAGAAATTTCTTTCTGAAAGCTTCCATAACCAGTGTATTCTTAAAGTTTCTTTTAGGGCTATGGGCTGCACTGAAAACCCTGTGGAGAAGCTATGGCCTCTGGGCTAGTAACCTCCATATGGTAGGAAACACACCTGCAGTGCAGCTCCAGCACATGCTGCTCATCTTTTGTCAACTATGACAAAAAAACTGCTCAGTTTCCTAGACATCTACTCCATCAGACAAATGCAGAATGAATTACTGCCATTATAGTAGGAAGCCTCATGGAACTGCTGTAAAAGATGATGTTCCAGGTGCCCAAAGTGCAGAGTATACAATATAGGTATCAACAGATCAGGAGTGTGGGATCCTGCATCTCCTAGTGATCAAGGTTCCAAGTAGCAACCTTAACTCCATTTGCCAGGGATATGCCCTATCAATAACGTAAAATCTACCTGCAATGTAGAATGGCCAAGCAATGAGTATACTTTCTACCAATTATAGTTTTGTCACTATTATAAAAAACGAAGTTAGAAAATTCAAATGAACCTGAAATTCATTTTATCACAGGAAATTTTGAATTATTCATATTATTTAGTACTAAAAAGCTATATTGCTAAATACTTGGAAAACAAAAATTGTTTATTATTCATACAACTTGAAAGCACAAAGTCATGAGTTTGACCCTCAGTACCAAAAAGATTTTTTTTACTGCAGGCTCAATTAGATCCTTTTTTTTTTTTTTTGTCTTTTTCGTTTTTATCGGTACCAGGGATCGAAATCACGATTGCCTGCTTGCAAGGCAGGCGCTTATGCCGCTGAGCTAAATCCCCTGGCCCTTGCAGGCTCAATTAGAATAAATGATCACTTAAAAGCCTAGATGAAGAACTGTATATTTTTATTTCATGATATACATAATACAGTATTTAAAATTTATATTCACAGATACAAGCATAATTTTCACAGTAAAAAAATCTTGAAAAGATTTTGAAGATTTAAAATGTGACTGAGAACACCTGACTGCACTGCAAAACAGGCTCTGAAACTCAAAGACTTTAATCTCTGAAATGAGAAAGTATTTAGTCATGGAGGAGTAGACACTGCCACAAATCAGAGACCTGAAGATTATATCTAACACACTGTAGAAAGAAAGTATCAGTTTACCTTAAGCCCAAGAATCACAGCTGTCCTAAACTGGAGACACCCAATAGGTAATACTTACTAAATGAGTGAAAAGAAATAAAAGAAAAAGCAAAAAGTAAGCATCAGAGTAAATGCTGTTAACTGAGGAAAGAACCAATGATAAATACTTGAAAAACAAAATCATTTTTCTGAGAAGGCTGTACCACTCAACAACCACTATATCAAATACTTCAATCCTGAAAAGGTAGATTGTAAAGAGGAAAATACCTATAATCTCATTTGATTTGGGTAACGGCACAAAAAAAACAGAAGAGTGGCAGCCACTTATGTTATATTTTACATAACAGTAAATATTAAAGACAAAAAATAGCTCTACTTAGTCTACAGCTAAAGGGATAGGAAAATAAGACAACTAGAAGAGCTCAAACTACTTCATGCTGTTCTTTAAAAAACAAAACACTAAACATCATCTATTCAAAAGCCATTAATGAAACCTGCATACAACGTGAAAGGACATTCTAACCAGTACTTCAGAAGTGGTAGAAGGGAAAATGTAAGTTTCAAGTAAAAGATGGAACTATAATAACATGTAAGTAATCCTCAATTTGAAATCATGTATATTATAAATCTGCCTAACAAAAAAAAAATGTGAGACTAATCATTACATTTATTTTCCTTTTCAGTTTTTACAATTTTCCCAAACAGTCTACAATTACCATACACTTCTATAAGAAAAAAATTTCATCTTGAAGGAAAAATTATTGTATATACTTAAAATATTAAGCATAATGTAGTTAATGAAATACTGATTTTTGTGCCTGTTTCAAAATTTACAAAGGATTAAGTACAAGTCTACTTTACTCCTTTACAGCAGTGATGCAGAAGTCAAATGATAATGAACAACTGTCAAAGACTAATTACTGTATACTTTTAGGAGAACATTACATAAGTTTTTAAGAATTTAATGAGATAGTTATATGAGATAAGCCAAGAATTCTTCGCAGTTCTTTTTTAAACCTTAGAAGCCATGAAGACATTAGGTTTTTTTGTTTTTGTTTTTTGTGTTTTTCAGACAGGGTCTCGCTATGCAGTTCAGGCTGGCCTTGAGCTCACTTTATAGCCCAGGCTAGTCTTGAACTCCCAACAATACTCCTGCCTCAGCCTCTCGAGTGCTGGGATTACAGGCATGAGCCACCACCACGCTGGGCTAGGACACTAGATTTTTAAAAGACACTATTTCAGAGTTTAGCTAAGGTTAGTATTCCCTCAGTCTTGGGTCATGAACTTCTACCTTCAGCCATGTTTAAATGATGTCAGTATTAAACAATTTAAATAATAGCTCTTCTCCCTAACTCTTTCAAACACACTTAGTCTTAAAAATTCATTAATTTACATGCTCTTTTATATATTCCTATGTGATATAATTAAGGCACAATGCAAATGGAAGTACAGTGGGCTTTTATTATACTACTTATGTTAATATGAATATGTACCTGATTCATGTTAGGCAAGAAAGCTAATAATTATTTTGTATTTCCTTCCTCTCCCCTTTGGATCTTCTTTTAAAAATGTCAAGGCTGAATCAGCATGTTGACTCTGGGAGGATCCAACAAGGCAACTAGCCAGCCTTTCTGGTAAGGAAAAGTCAGTACCTCCCATGAGCCTACAAACATTCCCCACCACCTACCCTGCACCTCAAGCAACCTACTGATTTAGAGGACAGGCTGAGTTGATAGCAACTAAGCAACTAAATGCTTGTATTGTCTGTTTGATTTTGCAGGCCTGGGGCCAGTAGTCTGAGTATCCCTTGAGAGGATGACAGTAGGCACTATAGCAATTGCGGGGGATTTCCTTCTATCTTGTCTTTGAAATCCAATATCGCGCTCACTGTTTTGGTTTGTTTTAATTGTTTTGCTTTATTCAACATTCTGTTTTGTTTTTTGTTTTGATTTTGCTATACCTGATGGAATAGACAAGTATTGTAAAGATAAAAAGATATACTATACTAAAAAAAAAAAAAAAAGATAGTAGCTACTGTTGTTTTCCTAGTATCCTACTTTGTTCTGTACCAATTTTGCTGCTTTGCTTTTGACTGGCTTTGTTCTGTTTTGCTTTGTTGGATTTTACTATCTTTAAAATAAAAAATAAAACTTTTAAGGCTGTAGGTATCAATCAGTGGTACAGCACTTGCTTAACATCCACATGGGCCCTAGATTTGTGCTTTAACACAGCAAATAAATAAAAAGTAAAAATAAAAACAAACCTTTCCTATAAAAAAGAAGAAATTTTCAGGCTGGGGATATGGCTCAGTGGAACAGCACCTGCCTGGCAAGCATGATACAGGAAACTCACAAATGTATTCTTTATTATTCTATCATCTTTCATAATCCCACAGCTACCATTAGTAAAAATTACTAATTCCACTATACTTGAAAGTAGTGATGTCAAAAGTATATGAAGTCTTCATTTTATAAAAAAGCCCTTTTTTGACTTACTGAATATTATGGTATATGTTAGGGCTTTCTACAACAATTCTGCCTCTTTGGATTATATCTGAATTCGAGGAAAATCACCTACTTAGAATTTCCTGAATGCAAGTTAACTTGTTCCTATCTTGATGCTATTCCTTTTGCCTGTGACGGCCTCTATCTCTCCCATTTAAAATTTCTAATTCACTCCTCAAATTGCTGTTAGGTGGCTAGCATTTCTATGAGGCATTCTAGGATCTGTCCCTCAAATTAATCATTTTTCATTTCTCTTATTTCATTTTTACTAGTACAAGGACTCCATAAGTATAATCTCTTCATTCTGTTTACCCCCATAAGGTCCTAATTTCAAGATCAGGTCTCATCTTCTATAGTATCTGTCAAGAATAGAAAGAAAAGTGTATTGAACTTGGTGGAGTTTTTGCATGTTACATTTACACTGCCCAAGCACATTCTCCTACCCACTCAAAAATATGCTGGGGAGGGAGTGACTCAGTAGATGGGCCAGCAAGCATGAGGCCCTGAGTGCATTCCCGAAAATCCACCACAAAAATACAAACAAAATTAAACTCCTTCCCCAAAATTTAAATTAATTTGTAATTCAGTGGTACAGCAACAGTGTGGCACACCTTGAGGACCTGGGTTCCATTCCCAGCAACAATTCCCCTGGTACTAAGGAAGGTGAGGCAAGAGGATCACAAGTTCAGGATAAGTGACCCAGCTAGAGCTTGTATCAAAATTAAAAAAAAAAAAAAAAAAAAAAAGGCTATGTATGCGGCTCAGCACTCCTGCATTCAATTACCAACACCCCTGCACAAAGTACAAACAGATACTGAGTAAGGATGTAAGGATTTCCCTCATGAATAAAGTCATGTATTTTTATTTGCCCACTATATTTCTGGGAAGCGGTATTTGGGAATTGAATCAAGGCCTCTGCTCTAACCTACATCCCCAGCTCTTTGTATTTTTTACTGAGACAGAATCTGGCTAAATCAGGCAAGGTCAACTGGAACTAGTGATCCTCCTGGGATTATAGGTGTTGACCATCCACCCAGCCATGTTGTTCTTTTGATAACCCAGGTGATTCTTACTTTGTGACACTGAAGCCACCAGACTTGATACTGCATCATATAAGTAAGTTTTTAATGACCATATATAATTAAACAGGATTTAACTATTACCAAAGTCACTGGTTTCAAGTTGTTGAGAAAAAAATCTAGATCTTAAAAAATTTACTTACTTTTTTTTTTTTTTTTTTTTTTTTTTTGGAGTCAAGGTCTCAAGGGTTTAGGCAGCTTGTTATTAGTTCAGGCTAGCCTCAAACTCAGTGATCCTCCTGCCTCAGCCTCCCAAGTGCTGGGATTACAGGCGGGTGCCGCCACGCCCAGCTAAAGATTTATTTCTTTTTTTTTTTTTTTTTTTTTGGTCTTTTTACTTTTTATCGGTACCGGAGATCGAACTCACGACTGCCCGCTTGCAAGGCAGGTGCTTATGCTGCTGAGCTAAATCCCCAGCCCCTAAAGATTTATTTCTAATATATTGTATCTAATTGGTCATACAGCTTCGCAAATACTTTTATGGGTATAAGTCAAATTTATTAACCTGATGATTCTGGTTTTAACTGCATTTACTATACAACGATATAATGGTAAAAGCTGCAGGAAAAAGTCACTGATTTTTCAATGTAAGAAACATACTCTTCAGTCCTAATGAAAACATTACCCCTTACTCAACTGAAAAATCTAAGGTGTAGGGAAAAAAAAGAGATTTAAAGAAATGACAGACTGAGTAATAAACTATTTCGTCACTTCTGTTCAATATTTATTAAACATCCTAGAAGCTAAAGGTCCCCCCAGATTTTGAAAGAACTTCCAAACAGTAACAGCAAAAAAGAAAAAAAAAATACTGCAATTCTGCTCGTTTACTTTTTAGTAGCAGCTGGTCCCACTGAGACACTGTACAGTACCTCATTCCCCAAGGAGTCCAATTCACTCTCAGGCTATGACCGATGCTCCAAAACTTCCTCGCAACTATGCAGAGGAAGACCCGGGGCTGGGCGGACACAGCTCGGGCAGCAGCGGCTTCAAACCTGGAAAGCAGCAAACAGCGAGTCAGGTCCCCGCTCCAGAAATTTCGAGCGCCGGCTCGGGCGGGGGCGCGGCGGCGGGGCGGGGGCGGCGACACCTGTCACTCGCGGCCGTCCGGGTCCCTCCGTCCCGCCCGCCGCCGCCGCGGCCTTGCCCCAGAGCGGCCCTCCAGCCGCCGCACTCCGGCCAGCCCGCCTGAGGCCCTGCGAGTCCGGCGCCCGGGGCGTACAGCCGACGGGCCCCGCGTACTCACCGGGCCTCCGCTCGACCGCGTCCGCCCCAGTCCCGGCCACTCTGGGCGTTGGGACTCGGCCGGGTCACGCTCTCAGGGGCCGGGCCGCGCGGCGGAGTAGGGGTTCGGGCCGCGGCGACGGCCAAGGCGAGCGCGCCGAGACTGGGGTGAGGGCGGCAGAGCGCGGCGGCGAGCGACCGGGCAAGGGCCCGCGGGCGGGAGGCGAGTGGCGGGGCGGGGCCTGGCGCGCTCGCCGCCGCGCGGGGTTTGTTTATTTTCCCTGTGGGTCGTGGCGCCGGCGCTGTGTGGAGGCGCGCGGGTTACGTGACGCCCAGAGTTGGAGCGAGGACCAGAACCACCTGCTGGAGACCGGAGCTACGGGGGCCGGGCAGGGTCCAAACGGCTCACGTAGGCGGCGGCGCCGTGGGCCTCGGGGTCACGGGCAAAGGGGCCTCTCCCGGAGCGGGAGGAAAGAGGGAGGCCTGACGGGAGACTTGGGCTCCGCGGCCGCTCCCCCTCAGCTCGCGGGTCACCTGCCTCGCTGAGAGCTCCGGCGTGGAGGACGCCGTGCGATGGGGTGACCGGGGATTCCCGCAGCTCGAGGGCGACCTCCCGTTAGCGAAGCGCGGATGGCACCGTGCCGGATCGCTTGGGAGAGTAACTGCAGTCCGAGGCGGCGGCCCGCTGTCTACCTACTCTTTCAGGAGCAATGGTTCATCTTACAAGCAAAATGAAGCGGCTACTGAACTCCTCCAGCAAATGGCAACCTACGACGGAGCGGGAGCCAGGCTGTGCTGGCTTCCAGGGCTGGTTGCGCTGCGTGGCACTGTCTCCGTAAACCACTTTGCTCCCACTCGTGGTGGAACACTCCCCCTTAGGTGAGATGCCGCGGGGTGCCAGAGGGGAGTAGACTTTCTCTGTGCTGTCAGAGTAAGGACTAAGACAAAGATAAAACAGTTGTGTAGTAAAAGATCGCAATAGGTGCCATGCAAAAATGCAAAATTTTGCAGAGGGTCAGAGAACCTCTATCACCTGCCTGTGACAGATATATAGGATTCGGAAAGAAAAGTGCGAAGCAGGATGGGGATTGATTCTAAAGGAGGTGAGGAGGATTTTACAGCCAGAGCACCAAGACATACCTGAAGGCCAAAGAAAGCGCAAGGGCTCCAGAAGCTCTAGGGTTTGTTGAGAAGTGGCGGAGACAACGGAGAATGATCCGCACACACAAATTGGTGAATTTGTATTTAATTCAGTATATTGTTTTCACGATTTAAAAACTTGAGGAAATTAACAGCTTTTTGTGACTACTGAACTTAAAAGGACATGCACAGGGCCCTGGGTTCAATCCTCGTTACCAAACGCACAGAAAAGGTAGGGGGGTGAAAATCAGTGATGGGGAGGTATATAGATGGGTGTCTCTCATGAGGCTGAAGAATTGTTGTATTTTGCAGTTTAGATCCTACAGGGAATGATCCAGAAAGATAAGAAACCAGTTGAGTGAAAAGCTTGAAATTGTAAAATTAGAGTAGGGGCTATAGTTACTAGTTAGATGAAGATAGGGAATGATCCTGAAAATGAGTAACAGAGTTCTGTCGTTTTGGTATGAAGTGTCCTCCACAAAGACTGGTCCCCACCCTGGAGATACTGAGAGGTGCTAGAGCTCTTGAGAGTTAAGGCAAAGTAAGAGGCCTTTAGATCATGGGGCCATGCCCTTGAGGGGGGGGACTCTTGGATAGTGCAACCCCAGCCCTCTGCTCAAGTTCTGTTTCACTTCCCAGCTGTGAGATGAACAGGTTCAGTTTTTGCTCCATGTTATGATGTCTCCCTCACCACAGCCTTAAAAGTAGTGGAGCAAACCAGTCATGGACAGGATGCTTCAAAACTGAGCCAAAGTAAAGTTTTTCTCTTTATAAGTTGAGTATCTCAGGTATTTGTTGCAGTAATGGGAAGCTGACTATCTCTGAGGTTGCAGAGGGTACAAGATCTTTTAAAGAAGTCAAGGATTTGACTTTGAGAGTCATTAAGGGGCTGGGAATGGTAGTGCACACACCCAGCTGCTCAAGAGGCCAGAGAATCAAAGCTAGCCTGAGCCACATAATGAAACTACATCTCAAAATAAATAAATAAATATTCTTTTTTAGAAGACAGGATTTTCAAAGTTTTGTACACTGTTTATAAATAGTTACAAAAACATCTTGGTAAAAAATGGGCTCCACAAATATAAAAGAGGTGTGATGCAATATTATACCCACTAACATTGTAGCTTAGAATGTGTAAGGACACTTTATGATGTGTGAACAATGCTTTAATCACCTACTAATGCATTTCTTAGAACTTATCCCTGTCACTGAGCAGTACTATCTTATTTATAGATAACTGAGGCATATATACATACATTTACATCTCATAAAAAATTACAAGTGTGATACCATACCACTGCTAGAGCAGTGAATAGCCTTGGAGAGAGTGATAGTGGTCCTGGCACTAAAGCCTTCAAACTGTGAGGAGTTGAATTACTAGAATTAGGGTGTTCAGGGCCATGAGTGGTTTAATATGGTAAACTCTTGAAGACACTTCATTTTAACACGTACTTTAAGTTTTATGTTGCTAGTGTGGGATTTCTAATTGCTTCTGACCGCTCAAATTACAGATGGTAACGGCTTTCTTTCACAGAAAATGCCCATCTGTCTATATTATAAATCCAACATATGCTAGGCTTCATATGTAACGGCCATGCTTTAAAATTTGTCATAGATTATTCTGTTCTATCTCCGGTGTGTATCTCAAATGGATATGTCTACAGTGATGCTATCTGTACCATATCAAATATAGAACCAATATACATTAAAAACCTGCTATAATATCTTAACAATAAACAGGGATTGATTAAAGATTTGACAAATTGAAAACAGCAAAATCACCTGTAGCTTAGAAAATGATGTACCATGTTACACAGCATGAAGGTTGTGTTGTGACTGCCAGGGGTTGAATTTTAGCACTCAGTCCCAGTTTATGGTGAGGCTGACACATGTACTATATACAAGACATGTAATCATTTTAAAGACTGCCTTTAAATTTGGTATAGATTTTCTGTTACTGTATTTGTATCTAACTTTTATGAAATTACCTATAACTGCTCTCAATTTTTCCTTCTTAGAAGAATCTTAGAAAAATGTTCATTATATGGGTACATGGAAGGGCCTAATGGTAAGAAGGCTTCTGCTTAAATGTGGTGCATTGAACACACAGGTTTTTCTCACTTCATTAAAATGACAGAAATAGAAATGATATAAGCATATGAAAACAAAGCAAACAGGAAAAGAGCCTCCTGAAAAGGATGTCAATAAAACCTAGGAACGTAGAAAACAAATGGATGGAGAAATTTTTTAAAAATTTTAAAAGAAAGCATATGAATGAGTTTAACTTACTCACTAAAGCTGAGAAAGTTAATTGCTAAGCTTTGCAAGGAGGCAGAGCCAGCCAGAGCGGGAACCTACTGATGTCATAGAACTCTGACAGACTAAAAATGGAGCCGCCATGTCTTTGAGAGCAGAGGTGCTGCGCAACTGAACCTCTGTGAAAGTTTTTTAAAGAGAAGTGAGGTTCTTCCACCTCAATATTCACTCTATGCAGCCTGACCAAAAGATAGTTTACCTTCTGAAGAGGCTGCCCCAGAGATCCTTCTAGACACGCAGGCAGAGCATCAGAACAGGGTGCACAGAAAAGCAGAATTTATTTTTTAATCAGATTTGATTGGTGCATTTTTAGATAATGCATAATGATCACCTTCATCTTAGAGAATTTGTACCTGTACATGATACAACTTGTTTTTTTTTCCCATTCCTCTACCTTTCCTTCAATCCCTCCTCATTTACAAAAGCTTTGTTTCCATGTTTTCCTTTTTTTTCACTTTTTTTTTTTTTTTTTTTTTTTTTTTTTGTCTTTTTCCTTTTATCAGTATTGGGGATCGAACTTACAACTGCCTGCTTGCAAGGCAGGCACTTACGCCACTGAGCTAAATCTCCAGCCCCCCTTTTTTTCACTTTTACCTTATTTTTTCTTCCTATCTTCTCCCTTGAAAGCAGAATTTAGTGACATTCTGCATATTGAATTATGAGACAGACGTCACCAGCTTCATCCCAAATTCAGATTGTAGAATTCTGAAAATCTTGTCAGGAGATTGAAATTTTCTCTTAGGAGAAAAGTAGCTGGTCCAAAAAAAAAAGAGAGACCTGCAAATACTGAGGTTTGAGGTCTTACAATGAAGAATGCGGCTTGATGCTTGTCTCTTAATGAAGCCTAACAATTAACAAACCCTGCCAGCTTACACCAAAATGGGCTCTAATGTATTCTCTATTTTTTTTTATTTTTTGCAGTGGAGCCTTGTTGCCCAGGCTGGCCTTACTTACACAAGAAATCCTCCTGCTTCAGCCTCCCAAGTAGTACCTCATTCTTTGTATAATTTTTTTTTATTTTAAAGGTAATAAAGACCAACAAACAAAACAAAAAATTGAATCAAAACAAAGCAGTGAAGTTGGTACAGAACTAAAGTAGGATAATGGGAAAACAATGGTTACTGTAGTATATCTTGGTATCTTCACAATAGTTGTCCATTCCATCAGATGTTTCAAAATCAAAACAAAACAGAATAAAACCAATCAAAACAATATTTGAGGGCCAGTGGCATAAGCACCTGTTTGGCAAGCAGGAGATCATAAATTCAATCCCTGGTACAAAAAAAAAGCACCCTAAAAAATAATAAAATAAAAA